AGTTTCTTGGCCAGTGGTGTTGCGTGTGAGTATCCTTGAGAACCACTAGTGCCAGTAAGCTCGTGTAAAGTGAAAAACATTCCAATTGAATATCGTTGCACCGCCCCTTTAAGTCTAGATACTTTAGACCTTGTCATTCGCAGTTTTCTCCGTTGGTAGCAGCCGCCTGCATTACTGGTGTTCTCGTGGAAAATGGCGCGCTAGCTCCCAATCAATTGCACAGCGCGTGCCATCCTGACTGAAAGCAATGTCAAGGGGTGAAACTAGAAGACCCTGTCCTTTAATAAAACGCTTCGTAGAGATTCCCGCTTCAAGAACTTGCGTCCCATCAAGTTTCCGAGTCTATTATATTCGCGAACACCGCCCCGTCAGACTTTAGCAAATGATTGACTCTTTGTCCAACAGATGTTTAGTCGAACTGTGGTAAAGTTTGAAGGTAGGCCAGTCGGTGCTGACACGTGTGACGTCACTTCGCGCATACGCAGCACGGCTCGCCAGAAGCCACGCGAAACTGCTCAGCCTCGGCCAGTGTAGACTACGCTACAAAATAAACTCCTCAAAACACGCTCCGATTCTATTCAAACATGAATTCCGAAAACACAGTACGCTACCTATAATACGAGTCTATGCGCAGCCAAACCCCGGCGTAAAACAACGAGCGCGAGGCGCGCGTGAGTCACGCGCGCCTCGCTTCGGTTCAAAGCTGAGAAAAGTGGAGTCGAGCGCCATCATTAGTTATCTCGACTGCATTTCGCTCAAAATAGGTTGAGCGACACGAACACGCTCAGAAGTAAACATATTACTTTGAGGTGAATGATCCAATGAGTGGTTTAATTAATGACGAGGTGTACTCTGACCAACGGGTTCGAATAAAACACAGATTTCATTGCTTCGGCAAGTTGCAAACCTCTTAAAGAGGCGACCTCTTTAAGAGGTTTTTCAGGCGAGGCACTTACTTTTTTTATTTATTTGTTTAACTGACATACCCTCAGGGCCATCAGCATTACAGAGGTGAGCGGGAGTTAGAAGAGAACAGAACAAAGCTGTACACTTTGGAGCTCAGTCTGAGCTGTATAGATTATTTACGGCAATTTTTAAACATATAGTAAGTGGCAATTGTGGCAACAGATGTGGGAAGGTAGTTCCAGACCACAGAAATTTTTGGGAATGGATGACTTTTGTTTTGGAATGTCTACCTCATATATATATTTATATGATGAAATCCGTGACAAAATATTAGACGGGTGATTCAGCGGTCGGCTGTGAAGTACTGCGTTATTATGGTATCTCTTATGAAAGTGACATCAACGCGCTATTTTACGACGTAAAGTCAGGTAGACAACGATAAGCTGGTTGCCATGGATCATAATTATTAAGATAAAATACACAGAACAATTTTGTACTGATCGAACGACGGTTTAGCGAGCGAAACCTGGCCCACGGCGTTTCATCGAATGCCACTTTAGCGAATGGCGGCGTTCATTTGACCGAATAGATAAAATGAAGGCCGCCGCTGTCCTGTTTTCGAGCTTGCCGAACCTTTGGCGATGGACGCTCGAACTTGAGTTCATATTATTTTCCCCAAACTATACCGAAGCACCCCTTGCTATCGTTCTGAACAGACCGCCTGGCGCGGTCTGTTTGGATGCCCAGTTTGCCGCCCCTACAAATGCCTAAACGTCGACTCGCGTATGTGATCTCTATTCGCTAAACTCTAATGCGCTAAAACGTCTTCGTTCATATAATATGGACTCGTATTAATGTTTGTAAGATGTTTCACAAAAATCGTGCACGCAGGTTCGTGTCTGTCTCTCCTTTTTGCCCCCTCGGCGAGCGGTCGTTGGCAAAAATGTAAGCGCCTTCTTTTTTTTTTTTTTTCGTAGAAAAAACCGCCCGCAACAAAAGATAAAAAAAAAAAAAAAAAAGACAGGTTTGAAGATTTTGAGGTGGGGTCCCCTCCACAATCACAACGCCGACAACCAGGCGAAGTCTAGGGAGCCTTCATGTGCGCTTTGCTAGAGTGATGCCACCCTTTGTAATACCGCTCGCCCACAAACCAGCAGCCATTTTGGTTCTGGGCATCCGTGGGGCTAATAACTCTCCCGGAAACAAGCACCTTATCTCACAAGTTCGGAGCAGGGAAGTCAAGAAGCCGCTCGCTCTCCACAGCATGCGCGCTCCATGAAGAAAGCGCGAAACAAAACAAAAATAAAAGAAACTGGACAACAAAACTAAAACCAGAGGGAACAAGCTAAACAAAGAAAATGACAAGTGCAGGTAGCGTCGCCCGGCCCAGCCCAATTCCCCCCCCCCCTTTCCCCTTCCCCCCTCCTCCCCTCCCCCCCCCCCCCCCCCCCCCCACACACACACACACACACACTGACACACACATCTGGAGCCGTCAGCGCCGCTGCGAAAGAACATCGAGGATGGCTGAGAGCCGGAGGCAGTGGCAGTGGCGGTGGCCGCGGCTGCAGGGGCCGACGCCGCTTTCCGTGACCTCGGTGACTCGGTGAATGGCTGTGACTCGGTGAAGGGCCGTGAAGTCGAACCGGTCGAACGACTTCATGAACACGGGATCAGTTCGCGGACGTGAGGGGAACGACTTGCTGAACTCGATGAGCTCGTGATGGGACGGTGAGCGACTTCGTGAATTCAGAGTTGGCGGTGATGGGATGGGGAATGCTTCATGAACTCTGTCGGATTCGTGATGTGACGGTGAGCGACTTTGTGAATTCAGAGCTGGCGGTGATGGGATGGGGAATGCTTCATGAACTCTATAGGATTCGTGATGTGACGGTGAAGTACTTCGTGAACTTGACGGATTCGTGAAGTGACGGTGAATGACTTTGTGAGTTCAGAGATTGTGGTGACGTGATGGGGATGAGTTTGTTGTCCGGTTGAACTCCGTGATGTGAATGGCCGTGACTTTTGGACGTCGGTGTACTTTGTGATGTGAAGGGCCGTGAATATTAGACATCGGTGTACTCTGTGATGTGAAGGGCTGTGACGTTTGGACGTCGGTGTACTTTGTGATGTGAAAGGCCGTGATTTTTAGACGCCGGTGTACTCTGTGATGTGAAAGGCTGTGACGTTTGGACATCGATGTACTTTGTGATGTGAAGGGCTGTGACTTTTGGATGTTGCTGTAATTAGTGATGTGATGGTGAGTGAGTGGGTTCGGAAATGCCGACCTATGGTGGCACGTCAGACGAAGTTGCATGGTAAATTGCGTGCCGCGAAGGTCGACAACGGCTTGCTCGTGGGAGCTTTGTATCTCTCGCCTACAGCAGTCACCAAATATTTTGTGCAAGACAAAGAAGAACTTCATACCAGTCATGCAGGAAAACATCCCATTGGCAAAACATATAAAATAGCGCAACTGGAACAAGGACAAGAAGTAAACAGGACAGGCGCTAATACTTCTTGTCCTTGTTCCAGTTGCGCTATTTTATATGTTTTACTAAGATGAACCAACTAGCCCAACAACGTACCTTACCATCCCATTGGCCCTGAGGGACGTGCACTCGCTGTTCTGCTGTGTCTTATCGGGGGAGCACGATCAAGATTAGTGCTGAGGAAATCAAAAACGCCGAGCAGACTTCGACAGAGCCGACAGCAAGTAGGATGACATCGAGAGTATCACGTACTTCGTCAAAGTGTTGACTGTAACGCTGTCTCGTTCTCCCGTCTTGCTCCTGCTGTCCTGTTTCCTGGCACCGGCAGGTGAGAACTATATTTCCTTCCTACGGACAAGTGGTGAGGGAAAAGTTTTCTTAGATTGTTTAGTACGGTATATCGAAAAATCGAAATACCTCAAGAGAGGAAGAGGAGGAGGAGGGGCATACCCTCCCCTCCTCCTCCTCAAGAGCTGCGCTTTAATTCGGCATTACAGGGAGTTGTAAACATCGTTCTTTTTTCTTTTCTTGTTTGTTTGTTTTATATGGACGAGTTTTTTTTTTTTTTTTTAGCTCATGAATCAGAAGGGGTGTAGCATGATTGCCCCGCGTGCAGAATCTCCGTCGCAAAAGCCCCGCGTCATTAGCCCTAAGTTTAGAAACCCCCGCGTTCAGTTACCGCCGTCCCGTATTCCCCCCGTGCCAAAACCACTGTCCTCACTGCACCCGTCCCATTCTTTTCGTGTTTCAACCAGCATTGATCTAATCTATGTCTTTACCTAATCCGTTGAGGGTCTACAAAGGCTCTTTTAAGTTAACTCAGACGTAGGATTATACTTTATCTACCTGGACGGATACAAATATTTTCTAGAGCGACGTAAGAATGGAACTGGTGTTTGGTTTTGACTGGTGTTTGGCGCCATGAGCTGCGGGTTAACATTTTTATTTTGACAGAACCGTCGGAACTGTGAATCCGCGCGTAGAGTCAACGAATGCTTTGGTTCAGAAAGGTAATCAAAACACGCAGGCGAACTGGTGAATGACATCCCTTAGTAACTATGAGACGTAGGAACAATAAAAAAAAAAATTTCGTTGTTGTGACCAACTTTTTTTTTTTTTTTTTTTTTCCCTTGCGTTTTAGGGTTACTATGGATGCTTTGGTTCAATGCTTATTCATAAAAAAATGTAACTTCAACTGTTTTGCCAGCGACTGATATTTTCTGTTTGTTCTCACTTTTAACGTCAATCCTCACTTGAGTCTAGGGTATGACATAATTGTTTCACAAGAGTTAAAAGCAGAATGCTTCGCCCTCGCGCTGAGGGGATTCGCGTCATGGGCTACTGAAACTGGGGCTTCTAAAAGCGGGGTAAAAAGGCCGGGACGTTTGCCGCGGAGCATTTGACACGCGGCTTTTGACATCGAGTGCTTTTGTGCACCACCCATCAGCGAAGGTATCACTATCACATCATATTATTAAAAGCTGTCACCTTCATTTTGTTTAAACAAAAAAAAAAGGTGTCGATATTTAAAACCAAACGTCAGCTAGGTGGCGCAAGCCGCCTCCTAATCGAATTGGTTAAACCATATGCATTTATCCATTTATTAATAGAAACAACACGGCGAGCCCGGCGGTAAAGTGAACTTTACCAGCGGGTCCCTAAACCTCCTTGTTCCTGAAGGTGTGAGGCAAGTCTGATATCGTATCTGGATTTGAACACAGTTTTTCGGGTCATACCTACAATGATAAGACATTACGCAAAGCGCGAGACGCTTTAGAGGCCACTGATATATAGTATGTGGTAAGTCTGAGTCATCTTGAATTTTCAGGATGGAGCTGTCGTTCAAAGGAAAGCGAGCTGTTGTCACGGGGGCAAGTCGAGGTGGAGTAGTTTTGTTGGTGTCTTTAAATGGGTTGACCAAACTTGCAAGTGATGGTCCCACTTTCTTTTAGGTATTGGGAACTTCATCGCTCGGGAGCTCTCGAAGTATGGCGCCACGGTCATTGCAGTCGCAAGAACCACTACTGAACTCGAAAAGCTCAAGAACGAGGTGAAACCCAAATGAAAACCATACTGTCTTCGAAACGGCTACGCTCAACAAAAGTATCCGTAGATGTTCCTTTCAGAAGGTGCTGAGGTGTATGACAAGTGGTTGAAGTCCATCGTCGGAAAATGGGCTAGAAAAAGTTACATATGCGCTAGCTAACCAGAAACTTGCTTACTCTTATGGAGTTACACACCAATGAATAAACACATGAGACGAAGAAAACATAGACATGTTTTTCTCGTCTGCAGTCACATCCGCCACAAGCTTAGACAATGAATTGTGAACGAACTAACAGTCTTACGTATCTAGCCCAAAAGCATGCATGAGCAGTGAAAATGAAAGGGCAGCTTATAAATAGGTGTGATCCTAGGTTAGGGAAAGGTCCTCTAATTTTCTTAGCGATACACTGCTTCCTTAAACAAGCAGTTTGGAAGGAACAATAACCTTGTTTTGCATTTTGAAATGCTGCACATTATGTTGTCTTGAGTGTGCTTGGTTATTTGGTTATGCTTTAAAAGCTGCAGAGAGCAGATTACTCCCTGCCTTATTTTTGCTATTTTAAAGAAACCATGATGCAACTTTGGGAGGTATATATCTAAAACTCTACTTGTCTCGTTTTTTTATTCCACTGACTGAGACACCAGATTCTCGGTCCCTAATCTGATTGGAGAATTTCCCACTTCAATGCCTCGGCTGATGTCATGGTGTGCCTGGGCTTGATGCAGCAAGGGTGCATGCAGTCATTCGCTCTTAGGTAGCATGAAATCTGCTGGATTCCTTGTTTGACACCAGAAATGCAACAAAAGAGTGGGCTATAAAGAATAAATGATCCCTTTAAAGGGGCACTGAACTTCCAAAAAACAGTTTCTAAAAGCTGCTTAGAGGTGAATGCACATTCCTTCCCTTCCCCCCCCCCCCCCCCCCCCCCGCCAAATAAATTATGAATGCAATATTTATTTTGCGGGACGCATTTTTAGTTCAGAGTGATTCCGAAATGGGAACTATATCTGCCAAAAGTGGCACCGAACATTGGCACAGCACTCGTGTTCATCTGTGCCCCGTCCTGACCTCTGATGGGTGACATAGAATATGCACCACTTCAACCTTGTTATTGGGAGGTGTTGCTGCAGCATGCCCCCCTCAGCACACTTCGAAAAGGGGAGAAGAAGACGGAATATATGGCTCTGTAAAATTGCATGTCGCAGTGTATTTGGGAGTTTGCGGCACCTAAAGGTGGTGCGACACTCCGCCTTAAAAGCTTGCTGGCAGCGCCACTAACGGCAGTTTGCGTGTTACTTGGTGTAGTAGAGTGCTGCCGGCTCCCTCCTTTTTAATATGTCAGTCGTGTCTGCACGTTCCCCCGGCTGTGTTCCTCCATCTCAATCAAAAAATAAAGGCTTCGCACCTTCACATTTGAAAACCATCGAGCATTGCTCGGAGTTGGGATTCAAATGTGACCCCTACAGTTGTAGGTGCAATGATGGCAACTCGCTGCCTATTTTTCATTTATCTGTGCTGGAATAAGATACCTCTACGAAGCATTTCTGTGTTCGACGGTTTAGAAACTGCTACAGACGGCATTCACCAGTGCCACTGATTGATAACATCTACATGAGAAGTATTTTTCGCTCTTTTTTTTATTCAATTGCTCTTTACTCACTAGCAAATCGAGTAGATATACTGGGAATGCGATGAATGTGGCTGCTTTCACGAGTGCATGGAGGGAATCTGCGCTCTCAATTTCCAGGTCTTGTGTTAAAAAAAGTTAGTGCCGCTGCCAACTGTGGCCCCGAACGTTTTGTGTAGCGCTGTGCTCGGCTAAGCTGACATTTATTAGAAACTATGTTCGGCTGCTGCACACAATGTCTTTACAAAATATATATCTGCTAGGGCAGCACCACAGCACCAGTGTCTTGTCGCAAACTTCTAATAGTTGCGCCTCTCAGAATTTCTAGGTATTTCGTGCTGCTAAGACCATTCTTGGCATTATGGTAAAGATGTGCCTGAAACACTCATCTTGGTGTTTCAACCTAGAATATATGGGCTTACTAAAGTAATCTGTTGAATATTCTGTGCAGGTACCAAATGTTATTCCAGTTTCTGTCGACCTTTCCAATTGGGAGGCTACCAAGGCAGCACTTTCAAATGTAGGACCTATCGACCTCTTGGTCAACAATGCTGCAATTGCCATTTTGGAGCCAGTTGGTGAAATCAACCCCGAGACATTTGACAAGTAAGTTTATTGTGCCTAGACTTTGTGTCGCGTGTTACTTATTTTCTTACAACTTAGCGTTTTCATTTGCGTGCATACGTTCAAGGCACTTAAATGGGAGTGGTGCACGAAAGCGCCCGATGTCAAAAGCCTCGTGTCAAATGTCTGCTGCCTCAACGTGACAGCAGGGCATTCTGCTTTTAACCAAAAGACTGTAAGTATGCAGGCAAGATTGCGCAATGTAATCATGCCATGCCCGGGACTCAAGTAAAGAGTAACTGGATAAAGCTTTTCATCATCTTACAACATTAAAAGTGAAAACAAGCAGAAAATATCAATCACTGGCAAAACATTGTGCGGATTCACAGCTAAGTTCCGACAAAGTGGGCTCTGTCAAAGCCATGCTTTATCACAGCACCAAATACCAGTTCCATTCTAAAAGTATTTCTATCTATCTAAATAGAGAAAGTCTTGGCTTTCTGCATCAGAGCCGAGTGCATCGCTGGTGATGCAGATTTATGCAGTTAACCTCATTTTGTTCCCTTCACTTAAAAGACTCTTTGTAGACTCTCAACATATTAGATTAAGACATGGAACAATGTTGGTTGGAGTGCGAAGAGGAATATGGGACAGGGGCAGTGAGGACGGGGCTTTGGCATGCGGAGAATACGGGACAGGGTAATTGAACACAGGGTTTTCGAAATGTGGAGCTGATGACTCAGGGATTCTGCATGCGAGGCAATCTTGCTATACCCCATAAATGGTATGCAGTGGGTAGAAAAATAATTCACAGAGCATGTCCAAGGAGGTGGAAACGATGCTGCTTCCCTAGTTCCAGTACCATATTTTCCGGTCTGTAAGTTGTGCTTTTGTGTAAGTCTCATCTACAGTAGCAGACGTCTCCTTCCACACAATAAAGTCTGTCTGAAGCCAGCGTCACCATGACAACGAAGCGTCTTCTTTATGGAAGGACACGCAAACGGAGCGTCTGAAGCCAGCAACGGCAGACACCATCTTCCGAATGTCGTATGCTAACATGAGTGCAGCAACATTAGCCAAAGTCAGACGCACCGTTGTGGAGGTTGACACTGAGAGCGAAATGCGGTTCCCTGGCGAGCCCTTTGCGGTTTTGACGATGCTTGGTGCACACTTTGGCCTAAGATTATAATAAAGTTTCCTTGAAGCGAAGGGTGACCACATGCAGCACAGTCTGTTTGAAAGTGTAGCTTGGAGCCCAAGCTAGTGTTGCCACGTCGTTAGCTGGCGGCATTTGGAAGATGGCGTGGCTGTAGCTGGCTCCTGACACTGCATTCACATGTGCATTTATTGACATTCGATGGCCATAGCAAGCAAACTTTATTGTGGAAAAGAGGAGGTGGGGGGGGATGTGGCGAGATTAGCTGCATACTTGAGCTCCTTCGCCTTGCTTTTCAATGTAATGTAATGTAATGTTTTATTTGCTCAGGAGAGCCGCGGCACCGCAGAAAGGCAAGAGCCCGTACCAAGGAGGCCCGCGGTGCCGTGTCTAGTGATGGTGATTATGCGATGGTGTAATGTACAGATGAAAGTTATGGTGTGTTAGGCCTAGCAGCAATCTACGCGGTGATGGTCTTCGCGGTGCTGCCATGGGCTGCTTACTTCTGGCAGGCCGGTCTCAAGCGCCTGGAGAGGGCTCTTCGCGCGCCATACTTGCATACGAGCCGGCCGAATTACCGGCGGGGCAGGGAGTCCAGCACCCCCGCAGGGGTTGGCGCCGGTGTTGGCCAGGCGGCGGTCTTTACGAAAGCGGGCCTTGGAGTGTCCCAGCTTGCGGTCCAGCTTGTAACTGGGCAGCGTGAGAACCCCCTGTCGATCGAAGACATGGTCTGTGGCACTGGTTTGGCTGGCTCTCTGACGATCGAAAAGACACGTCTTACGCCCAGGTGGCTTCTTCTACCCGCAACCATCAACCACGCGTCGGTCACGTGCTGTAATGTAATGTAATGTTTTATTTGCTCAGGAGAGCCGCGGCACCGCAGAAAGGCAAGAGCCCGTACCAAGGAGGCCCGCGGTGCCGTGTCTAGTGATGGTGATTATGCGATGGTGTAATGTACAGATGAAAGTTATGGTGTGTTAGGCCTAGCAGCAATCTACGCGGTGATGGTCTTCGTGGTGCTGCCATGGGCTGCTTACTTCTGGCAGGCCGGTCTCAAGCGCCTGGAGAGGGCTCTTCGCGCGCCATACTTGCATACGAGCCGGCCGAATTACCGGCGGGGCAGGGAGTCCAGCGTGAACGTGAACAAAAAGTCCCTAATATTTTGATGAGCCTTACACGAAAAGCATGTTTTTCTGGCCATCCAGAAACCGTTTGGCCCTTTTTTTTTTTTTTCCTTGGAACATGGTGCTAAAGTATTAAGCTGTCGGTGATTCAGTTGTACAAAAACATAGTGCATGGTGTTGCTACAAAAGTCAGAAGCATTTAAGCCTTGCAAACTTTTCCGTTTCTTTTAAAGGTAAAAGACCCAAGTTCCTACAGAGTGGAGATATTGAATTATGCCTACTCGATTTGTTACAAGTAAATCTCACATCATTTGGTACCTTGCCAGCTTCTTAGTTCTTGAGATTGCATGCAGAAACCAGACAATGCTGGTATCTTTTCAGTATGCAACCGAAAAGATGTATTTTCTAGGTTTAACATTATTAACCCATTCGCTACCGCGCGCGTCCCGTGCTACCGGGCTATCCGAACCGCATGTTGTTCCCCTAAAACAGGGCCACACTAGGCGTGACTGTTTTGCTTGTATAATAAGCTTTTACAGTAAAGCTCAGTGCAGAAAACAAGGAAACCTGTTTATTTACATGCTTAAGTAGTTCGTTTTAAATCAATAGGCCCTTGCAGGTTCTTTCTCGTATGGAATATCTTGAAGCACTCCATCCTCGGACACTTAGGCGTCGCACAACCAGTGCGCTCTTGTCGTGATTCGGACTCGGAACTGCTGTCAGGACCGCTCCCGTCATCAACAGAAGGCTCCGAAAACTCACTATCCTTACCAGATGTCCCGTCATAATCACTGTCGAGGGGGATATCTATGATTTCATCGTCAGAAAGGCCACACCATACTCTGGACACTGCCATCTTCTCCAAGCAGGCAGACGACACACAAAAGAACAAGCTCAAACAAACACAACGAACAGAACGACCTTTGCCATCTGTTGGCAATGTATCTAACTACACTACCCCAAGTCTACATAGCGCACCATCTATGAATGGCTCTTTAAAACCAATTCATGCAGACCGGCAAATCGCCGGCCTTGGCAATATGGCCCCTGATGGCATGCCCGGCGATTTGCCGGCTTTGGTAGCAAATGGGTTAACTATGTCATTGATCTATAGCAGAAATAGGATTGGTGTCAGCTCCTATCCTTGTGGAAAACTTTTTTTTAATTATGAATGTATGTTAATGGCTACATACTGATAGCAATCTGAGAGGTATGCTGTTATACAAATTTAGTATTTTGACAAGTGTTATTCATGTAGAATTTTACCACAGACAATAGGGATACAGTTAGGTAGTCGTGCACATCAGTATGCCATACTGCCTTCAGGCTCACTTGCGAAAGGTAACTTGCTGGGTCGAGGCTCCTCTTCTGCTTCTAACCTGGTCTTTTTCATTTGGATTTCAGGACTTTTGCAACCAATGTCAAGGCCGCCATCAATGTTTCTCAGGTATGGAATTTTAGGATACTTGCACTTGCTACAGGTTATGTATTTTGATCTCATACAGTTCCCTGATTAAGATGTCTTCAAGGTTCATGATCCTTAAAAATTCACTACAAACAGTTTTGATGCTGCCATTTAAGTATTTTATGTATGATATGGTGGGAAATTTAGAGAAATGTAGTAAGAAAAAAAAAAAAAAAAGCCACAGTTCATAGTGATCTAACTAAAGTGTCAGATCTGGTGTGCCTTCAAACGTCATTCATTAGTATGTGTATGCCTCATTTAAAATAGTGGTGTGGTTGACTGTCTAGAATTTAATTACTATGTTGTAAAAGTGACTCATTTGTGGAGACAGGGGCATTAGTAGCCAATGCGAGATGAAACACTGAAAGGCACATTTGCTAAAATCTGCAGTCTTCAGGCTACCTTTTCCAGAAGGCTCTTAAAGCATCCTCAGGAATAATTGTACAATAAAACTTTGATAAAGAGAGGTATTCTCTAAAAATGTGTGAATGTAGTAAAGGTTGCAGTCTTTTTCTTACGTATTGTGTACCACTTCAGTGTTTTTTTTCCTATGCCGTGACTTCGGCTGCTTGTTTGCATTCCAGTTCTTACGAGAACTGATGGCTCGCCTTTTCAAACGATTTTCTGTCAATAATTGAGCATGAATGCCATAGATCTGTGTCAAGTCCATGAAGGAGCGGAATGTTGCGGGAGCCATCGTCAATATCTCTAGCCAAGCCGGGATTGCAGCTCTGGCCGACCACGCTGTCTACAGTGCCAGCAAAGCTGCTCTCGATCAGCTTACCCGAGTCATGGCACTGGAACTGGGTTCTTACAAGGTTAGTTTTCTGCTTCCAGCCAGTTTTGTATGATGGAGCTTGAATTGCCAAAAAATATATTTACCTATGTGATACAACAGCAAAATCATGGGACCTAAGGAAGAGGAGATGCTAACATTCGAAGCATGGTTGCACTCGTCTACAAACTTCTTTTTGAAATCTTTTCTGGTGAGAATGTGGGTGTGCTTAGTCATGTAAATATGGTAATGCTCTATAATATTGTAAAGGTGGGAGCTGGTGTGAGAGAATGGTAATTTTAGTTTGGAAAGGTGCTTCATATTTATTTATATTTAATATTCTAGGGCACAAAGGCTTTATGGAGAAGAGAGGGTGAAAAAGAATTAAGAAAATATTAAAAAAGTGCAATGAGAACAAGCCGTAAAATAAGCATTCGAGCAAAATATTAACAGAACAATATACTCAGTTTCATGCTTAGTGTACAATGCTGTCAAAGCTACTGACACATGTATGTGGCTTCATCTAGTATCTTATTTCCACAAGAGGAGTGTGTGCAAATCAAGCACTAAATCAAGACATGGGCTCAATCCAGAATCTTTGTTTCCTGGAAAGCAGTACCAATCAAATGGGGTCTACATTTGTAAGCAGTGAGAGAGTGCAGGCGAGCTGGTAATTAATCAACATTGTGTAAACCCTGACATGGGGACGATAAAAAAATGGACGAACACAACAAAATCTCAACGCAGTTGAATTTTATTGATATGAGCATACCAATAAATAGACTTTCACACAAAAGGAAAAGAGAAAGGGCAAAAATAACTCAAAAGCAAAAAACAAGACGGCCACCGCGTTCACCCCAGACAGCCTGAGCCACTCCCGGGCTCCAACAACCTTCGGAAAGGGAGCCGACCACCCGAACAACAACAACTCCAGGGTCACCACACATGGTGACCTCCAAACCGCTAAAGCCTAATTTCCATTTCCTACTCCAAGCATACGCTTCCCCCCCCCCCCCCCCCCTTTTCAAGGTTTACAAAGGGGAGCTTTGTAAACCTTGAGAAGGGGGGGGGTTGGGAACTGGGAAGGGTTTGCTTGGAGTAGGAAATGGGAATTAGGCATTTAGCGGTTTGGAGGTCACCACGTGTGGTGACCGTGGGGTTGTTGTTGTTCCGGTGGTCGGCTCCCTTTCCGAAGGTTGTTGGAGCCTGGGAGTGGCTCAGGCTGTCTGGGGTGAACTCGTTGGCCGGCTTGTTTTTTGCTTTTGAGTTATTTTTGCCCTTTCTCTTTTCCTTTTGTGTGAAAGTCTATTTATTGGTATGCTCATATCAATAAAATTCAGCTGCGTTTGAGATTTTGTTGTGTTCGTCCGTTTTTTTATCGTCCCCATCTCGGGGTGTACAAGATGGGGTCTACACTTCACCCGCGAAGCTGACACATCCTCAAACTTTGAGCCTTTGCTCGGGGTCTTTAAGGCCGCAGCAGCCACACACTGACCATCAAGTGAATCTCTCGCGAGACATTTAACAATGGAGCTGCACGACACTGCTCGGACATCTTTATGAGGCCTCTCCGAACCCAGTGACGTGGTGCCGAGTCTGAAGACCAGTCAGAAAACCAGTACGACTGCGAAGAAGCCACTGCCTTCGCTCACAAGGAATGCCGAGCAGTGCTGAAACTTCACAACCCTGAAGACTGAGATCCTATACCTTCTGAGCCACTGTGGTTAAACTTCAAAGGATCTGAACAGTTGCGCCTCTCAGGCGAGCACTTTTTGAGAAGCAACCTCAGCTTGGGTAATGCGGTTGCTGTACCTTGCCTTTTTGCTGTCTGTACCTTGCCTTACCAACCTAATCTATCTTCCCTGGGACTGCCCAGCACTGCAAGCGTACTGTCAAGTAGCATGTATGCATTTCTCGTCTCTCGGAGGGCTCGGCCAAACCTGCGTGCCCGCAACAGCGGCCTCATCCCACCGGGACCCCACAACACTGCAAAGCTGTCCTGGGCACCCTTTTCGAATTTGTGCATGAAATGAGCCTTCAGGACAGAATTTAGTGACTGTTTGTTTTATATTTCTCATACTTCATCCCCTTCGCTAGAGGGTCATCAGCCAGCTAAGCATTTCAAAATTAAAAACATTTGCAATAGTTCAGTTACTAAATATAATAGTAATATTAAGAATGCTTTATATTTTCCTTAGTGCTCACAAACAGCTATGAAGCCTTTTGTGTAGTGCACTGTCTATTTGTGTTTGCAGCAGCACTACTTAAAATGTACAAAGCTTGTGAAAGGACATAAATACAAGCTTGCGAGGCAGATACAACTCCTAGACAAACTCGTGAGTCAGATAAAATACACTTCTGCAAGGCTGGTTTAAATTTATCGAAATGGAGAAAATATCCAATTCACAATTGCCTATGTCAGGGGTTCTCAAACGGGGGTCCGCAGACTTTTTGGGGTCTGCGAAGCCCTGCCTCGTCAGTTAAGCCGTCGAAGAGTAGTCATATTTTTTCAGTTTGAGAAGAAACATTTAAATTTTCGGGTGAGGTTTCTCGTGTGTATGTCAATGAGAGAAGCCTACTTCACAGTAGCCCTGAGTTATCTCCATTTATTAAATCATTATCATAATTAACCTACCGTAAAATCTCCAGAGATGCCCCATCCCCGAAAGATAGCCCACCCCAAATTCTTGGCTTGATTTTCTATATTTTTTTGAGCACCTAATGATAGCCCACTCCTAGTAATAGTAGTATTGGGATCAATGATGACCTCGGCGTAAATGCGCCTAGTTCGCTATGGCGAAATATAAGCGACTGTTGCTGACTGAGAAGTACAGTAATTTTTGCTTCACTGCCTCTCACCACCATAACAAGCTTGGAAGGGACACAACCAAAAAAAGCACTTTTTTTAAAACTTTTCTTGAATGTACACCGAAAGTTAGCCCATTCCATATTTTCAGCTGATTTGTAGGTGGGCCATCTCTCTGGACTTTACGGTATACCTCTCCCTTCCCCTCATCACAAACGCGGTTCTCCATCACCTTTGCCGATCCACAAGGGGTCCACGAGTCATCAATGGTTGAGGACCACTGGCCTGTGTTATTAAAGGGGCCATAAAACAAATTTTGGGGTGAAACAAATGAATTTAGATGGGGATTTTACTAATAGCATATTGATTAGTGGGCCAAAAGGAAGAAGGATTGCGTCACCCGGCCCAAACTCGCGTCACACAGCACCGGACCTCGCTTATTCCCTTCACCCCTAAGCTGACAGTGGGATCTCTATATATCTGAGATCAAGTTCCGCATCCCATCAAATAAACATGAATGAAGAAATACTGCTTATTTTATTTTAGCATTTTCTACCCTATGAACACTTTTCCCGAAAGCATACAAGTTGGAGATAGTCCGCGCTCCCCCTTTGCTCCGTGTCCCGTGCAAAACCGACTGCGTGAGCAGGGGAGCCACCCACTGTTTTTGAACGGTCCCAAGTAGTACTGAAATACATTGGATGATGTTTTAAGTGGGGACACTACCTTGAATCGCACCTTTTTTCCAAAAATATTCATACAGTAAAACCTCGTTATAACAAAATGGGATATAACAAACTAATGGATATAACAAAGCAATCATAATTCCCCTTGCTTGCTAATAGTATGAAGAAATGGACATTGGCTATAATAAACTAATGGTTATAACGAAATAATTACGACCGCTCCTTCAACTTTGTTATAACGAGGTTTTACTGTATTCAGAACTGCAGTTTTGGCATGTATGGATAACAAAGAACACTCTCACAAAGTCTTGTCAATGTGCACTGACAAACAATGTCAAAAATAATTATCCTTTGTATGTTGGTGAGGTGTGCTGTACTGCGTAGCACTCGTCATCCACAAGTGAAAACAGCTGAAAGCAATGTCAGTATATCACAAGAAGTTTGAGGAAGACATCACCTACACTGCTGGAAAGAATTTGTGACATTTAACACTCAAAAAGAAATTTTTAAAATGTTATCTTGAAACTTTAAGTGCATTTATCTCAGCTTCACTTTTGACAGCAAATCCCTATTGTTTCAGTATGAAACTACCGAGTGACTTAATATTTGCGGATTATATGCCAAAATTTTATCAAGCCAGTTACTATGAACTTAAATTTTGCATTTTCTTGTTCCTTTATTATGAAAAATTGTAATTTGCAAAACTTGGTTAATGTACAGTAAAATCTCGTTATAACAAAGTTGAAGGAGCGGTCGCAATTATTGCGTTATAACCATTAGTTTCTTATAGCCACTGTCCATTTCTTCCCACTTTTAGCAAACAAGGGGAATTATGATTGCTTTGTTATATCCATTAGTTTGTTACATCCCATTTTGTTATAACAAAGTAATAAATCCATATTTTCTCAAATTTCTTTTCATAGTAACTGGCAACAAGTATTTCAGTATGCATTCCACCAGAAAAGTATATGGTGATCAACACCATTTCTCAACGATAGATTCATTGAGCAGATTCCATACAAAGCTACGTTCTGGGGGTATAGTACCTCATAAAAATGGTTCACAAGGCTGAAACTTTGCATGCCCTCCTTCTATATGGCTACAAACACCACCTGCAAATTTCACGCCAGTCGAGTGAGCAGTTCAATAGTAGACATGCCCTGGTAGTGTCCCCCCTTAAATGTACATTAATCTCTTCCTCCTTGAAGTTGCTTTTTATTGACTTTGCTTTTACATCATTTGAGTTTGTATTAACGGTAGCAAGCTGCAAGGCTTTTGTGTGGCACGACAAGAAAACCATTTAGTAGGGTTACTAGAGGCATACTCTTTGGCATGATGTGCTGGTTAATGTTTGGTCTGCCAGACTTGGCTTTGGATCCTATTTATTCCCCCCTAAACCTACCCAGCCCTTTTTGCGAGTAGTATCACATAGTTAATTTCCTCATCATTGTGAAGCTCTCTTCTGTCCCAGTTATGTGCAGTCATTTCAGTGGCTCTGAGGCGACGTGCCAGCCTATGGATCCCTCTTTGGCTGATTCATCTCCTGGGCGAGGTACCTGCAATCTGGTGATAGTTTATTGCAATGTAGGTGCTGTGTAAAAAGACGTTTCAGCTGCCAAGTGAGGATCCATAGCTGGTCTAAATTAACTTGCCGTCCTGTGCTGGGGCATGCCACGTGCTTGTAATTGGTTTGGCACATAAGCTCCAAAACTTTCATGATAAGATTTTTCCAGGTTAAATATGCATATAATTGGATACTACAAAGTTACCCACTCTTCTTTGCTATAATCTCTATCTCAGCACTGTTCACACTTGGCACCTCGCCTCTCTCGAGGTGCTTGATTTTTGTACGGTAGATGGTGCTTGTAGTTACTTTGAGTTCTGAAGTTATACTCTTCTTTCATTCTAGATCAGGGTGAATTCAGTGAACCCCACTGTAACAAACACGCCGATGTCAATGGTGGGCTGGAGCGACCCGAACAAGGCTGGGGCCATGAAGGCAAAGATCCCACTTGGACGATTTGCAGGTATGATCGTGACAGAAGTGCAGCACTTTTTTCTTTAATTTGGAGAGAGCAGCCACTTCCTGTGGGATTGTTTTGTTAGTTTAGCTGTAACTACTCATCCATTGCTTACAGTTTCCTGTACTTGTATCAGCGTGGTCTTTTGCGGTCAGGTTTTTTTTCTTCAGAAGATGTACCCCGTTAGGACAGGCTTTTTTTTTTTTTTTTTTTTTTTTTCCTCTCTCTTTCTCTCTCTTAAAGATATACTATGACAATAAAAGAGTTAATGCAAAAAAAATTTTTTTTTTTTTTTGGTCTAACATTAGCACATACAGTGCTTGCGATCTATCCAAATTGAGAAGCATAGGATGGAAATACTGAGAGCAAAAACCTGTTGCTTCCCTTCGGTTTCATTTTGGCGTGTCTGTTTCTGCGACATTCCGGCGGCCTCGGCCTCCAAACCGGAGGTACTTCACAGAGCCTCATCGTCGGATGACGAGTTCTTATTCTAAACTTCGAGATGCATTAAAAGTCTGAATTGGAAGATCCTGCACCCCGATTCCTACTACCGCAAGAGCAGCCAACACCCAAAGTGACCATCTTGCGTGTATCCCGTGCACTGTTTATGAAGAAAACCCGAGGGTTCTTTTTTGCGGAGCACGCAAGTTGCCAATCGCCGCGATCGACAGCATGATTCCAGCGGTTCACAGGACAAAGACAACGTCTTGGTGCGAAGAAATCGTCTGTGAAGATTGCATTTGTATGGAGGATCGTGGTCTCGATCTAGTTATTCGCTATGTTATTTATGCGCAATGCAATGTTTGGATGTATATGTGTTCTGTCTTACCGAAAGAAAGGTGCCCCCAAAATGAGTGTCTAAGAAAGGTAAACAGCCGGTCAGCTGCAGGAAAAAGTGTTTTTCTACTTGTTTTGCGATTTGCTTCATAAATTATATCTACCCCATTGCATGTTAGCTAAAGAGTTTAGATTACAGGGCACGAGACATAGTAGGGCGTGCCGAAGTGTTTGGTACGTTGGAATCTCCCTAGGCACTCGCTCCGTAGCGGTGTATTCGTTGGTCTATCTCAATCGGGACCTCCACACTTACTTGCGGTGGCCATTTTTAATACACTTTTTGCTCGATGTATTTTTTATGTGGTTATCTGTTGCTGCGACATGTTTCAAGCACAACTGTACTTCAAAAGATTAGGACCATTACTTAGAAAAGGGCAGCGATTCCAGATATGTATCACTGGAAATAAAACAACTTTTTCGAAAGCTGTCTTCACTTTCTTTAAAACAAAACGTGAAACCATTGCATAGTACAATTTAGAAGTGCAACACTTACCACCGAAAAGGTATCAAACGAACCTCACCCACCTTGTGGTGGTCTATTAGGCTGGCATTACTGATCCATTCTGCATTTATACCAATTGAGATCGCAGAAAAAAGCTTCCACCGTCGGGCGACTGTAGGCATTTGGAGCATGTGCAAACAAAATAAAACTGAATAGAAACTGTACACGGAAACTTATCTCCACCCAAAGTTTTCAGGTATCTGGCATGGTTACTTCATTTTGACAGATGCCAGTTGTTATGGCGCATCAGGCATGGACTCCCTGCAGATTTCTTTCTTCTTTGTGTGCAGGCTTCTCCCTGCAGTTCATTTGTACCATGCCGCACAGGCTGTCAACCAGAATGATACAACTTTTAGAAAACTATTGCTCCCTGAGAAAGTCTATTTAGCTCTTTTTACTTCAGTGTCGATTAAACGTTATGCACAAGTCTGAGCACTACCAAGCTCAGTGTTCCACCGACACATTCAATGCTGTTCCGCTGTGCTACACAGAGCCGATGGTTGCTCAAATTTTTGTGTTCTTTGCCATTGAACTTGATGTTCGCTTGCTTCCAAGTTCATCGAGATGTCCAAGTAGTGGCGTCGTTGTTTTTCCCGCAGTCGCAGTGGGTTCATGCGTTCACGAAGACTAAGAAGCAGACGACAAAGCGATTCTAAAGCGATAAGACGACTGGAACTAATTTTCTGTGCTTGCCTGACAAACTAAGGCATCACATACAATACAATCTTATGAAGTACAGACATGGAGGAGAACCCAAGCTGATACTGGGGTGTCCCAAACAATTATGTGCGATGATGTATGCACACCACAGCCCTATGTAGCCGGGAAGGGATGACTACATATAGCATGGCAACAGCATCACTTCCGTAATGCGTACGCCTGCGTAGTTCGCTTGGTGACATTGATCTATTGACCAGAGTTGCCCTTTGAGACGTTCATTGAGATGCATGTGTTGTGTGGCATTTTCAGATTATCAGCGAAAAGATTGCTTTGTCCCTTCACTGTTTCTATTATCTCAAGAGTGATTTTACAAGAGGAGAAATAGAAATAAGCACTGGGTGTTCATCTGTGTTGATGAATTTTCTGTTGTCTGTACGAAACACGAGGAATGGCCACAGTGAAAAGATGTGTTCGGGGATCGGTGGCCGATTGGTCTAGCGCACACCAGCTCGGAGCACGTGGAGCGAAAGCTCGCGCTGCAGAACCCAGGGTTCCTGGGTTCGAGCCCCACCCCTGCTTGTTTCGATCTGGATGAGCATCGTACCGGCGTGCGGTCGTGTATCACTACTGCGTGATGCACGTTAAAGACCCCAGGCTAGCGGTTGTGCCGCACTGGCTAAATTGCTCATCTACAGCTGGGAGACTCGTCGCCCCTGCGAGGCTGACCAAGTTCTAGGCTGTATAAACACACACACAACCCAATTTTTTTTTGAAAAGATGTGTCTATGCATTCAGAACAGGAACTACGTGGAGCAAAGAACCCGGAATGCATGTCGAAGAGGCACATAGAAAGATACTCATTCTTTTCATCTCAAATGAGAGTCCATACTTCTATTGCATTAAACACTTCAGTAGTTCAGAAGTCCAAGGCAATGGCCACTTTTGAATAAAGCTGTAATTTCTTAGAGATCTGTGTGAATATTGAGGGTATTGAGAAATTTAACACCTCCGCAAATACATTGATTGTTTCAATTGGAGAAACTATGCATGCTTACTAACAGTTTGGCGCTTCAAATCTAGTAGTATCTTGAGTTTTTCATTTCTCCTTTCAGAGCCACAAGAAGTCTCGGACGCAGTTCTGTACCTGCTGAGTGACCGTTCCTCCATGATAACTGGTACCATTTTACCAGTAGACGGTGGATTTACTGCCTGCTAACTCTTTCCTTACACCAGAAAAAAAAGGCAGTTATGTGGTGGTCTTAGTAAACAAAATTTAGTCGCAAATTGCGCTACTAGCTGTACCAAGGCATGTCAAAATGTAAGTAAAAATTATTTAGTCTCAAATTATGCTATTAGCTGTACCAAGGCATGTCAAAATGTAACTAAAGGAATTCTCTTTTCAACAATGTAACTGTCAAACAAGATATTTATAGAACAAGGAAAAAAAAAAAGTAATATCAAATTTTGTGTAACTAACTGAAAAGCCTTTATTTTAATTCAATATGCCTTGCCAAGAAATAAAAGGAAAAAAAAAAATCAAAAGTATACATTTTGTACCTCGCTCTTCTAGGAACAAATCATGCAAGTTTGAAAAGCCCCGTGCAAAACTTCTTGTTCTGCAGAAAAAGAGTTAGCCTCCGGAATTACTGCACCGTTCCCCAAAGCCCCGACCAAAGCGTTTTGTGCCACTTTGTAGTGTTATGTCGAGGTCGGGACTGGGCCGCCTTTTCGGAGAAAACTCCACTCGTTTCGCTGCTGATGGCATAAAGTCATGTCTGTATGACGTTGACACCATGCAGGTGAAATATGTTGCGTTCAGAACACGCCCGGTATCTTCACATGAGCTCCCGAAGGTAATAGTAAATGTGCTTGGGGCGCAAAACGAAACATACTGACAGGCACCTGTGGATAGTCCAGGCTGGTACCCCCTCCGCCACTATCGAAACCAAAATCCAAGGAATGAATGTTATGTTCCAACTTGCTGCTTTCACTTTCATCGACATAAAATACTTCACCTGGAGTTCATGTGCAGCAGATTGCAGTGCTTACAATGGAGCAAAGAGAGAATTACTGTAGGGTCTCGTTGAACAGCAAAATGTTTGGTTGTGCTAAACACACAACCTAAAGGAGCAAGAAACATGATGTAAAGCTATTCTATATAGTTGTTATGTGGGCATTGTCAAGAAGGCTTTTGGGTGGAGACGTGACTTATGTCAAGGGTGACTGAATGCTTTGGTGCTTTGCAGGTTTCATAAAAAATAATTTATAGCATCTTTTTTTTTTCTCTCTCAAAGGGTAGGTTTCCGACATTTCTAATCTGTATGTTTTATCAGGTAACTCTAGAAGGGGAGGCTTGGAAGGCACTCTTCTTTGCGATAACACCTGTGCCTGTGGGGGTAGGATACCTTGACATCTTGCAGTATACTCCTTCGTTTAGTCCTATTGCATGCAGTATGTACTCATGCTTCAACCAATGTCATTTCTGGCGATCATATTACATAAAAAAACTACCGTGGAACTTGTCACAGTGGAGAATCTTGTGTATTGTTTATGTGGCTAGGTTTCCAAAGGTGCCTTATGAGTGGAAGTTTGCATATTATACTGCTACTACTACAGTGGAATTGTAAAGTGGCTGGGAAAATTCAACATTGGAATAAAATTATGAAAAATAAGTGTGCTGTCAATGTCAAATTTGTTTTAAGGTATATGGCTATTTACCTCACAAATGTTTTTAAGTGTTTGACGCTTCAGTTCTGTTAGGAAAGCAAGCATTTCTAAAACATAAAATGTAATTTTTAATGCGAAAGCATTAACTGTCCCATGGAGTGAGCCGGCATAATCAGCTTAGAAGCCGTGCCTTGGCACCTTAAATCCTTTCTCCAAGTGAAGCCAGCTCCCAGCTATGAAACCATGTGAAAAGCCTAGCCAAATGGCACCTAGTTTCCCCGATCCCAAAGGAGCAGAGTGAAGCTGATGGATTTCGGCTTCAATCCCATTGGCTGGCGCGCGTCGACAAGGCTCCCATTGGCTGCTGCGTGTCAAATTCAACGACCGCCACCTGATGGCGCTGCGTGTCCGCGAGGCAGTGGCTCCACTACTACACGCCCAAGGTCAGCGCACGCGCTCAATTGTCGACGCAAGTATGCTGCAGACGAAAGGGAGCGGAAGAGCGGCGTGCTTGCTTTCGCATTCACATCTCGTAAGAAATGCTTAAGTATACCTCGAGCCCTTTTTTTTAGCAGTTTGTTACGTTATTATTGTAAAATCCCAAGATATGTAAATGCGTCTAAGCTGCCTATGGAGGGATATAAGCGAGCATTGCTGACTGGGAAGTACAGTCTTCTTTGCCCCTTGCCGCGCTCTGGCCGCAATAACATGTTTGAACAGAGACACATGATCTAAATCTAAATTTGCGTTTTCTGGGAGATATTTTTGTCAATCGTACAACCGCACAAATTGGCCATAATTTGCGAGTCTCTTGAGTAATGCGGGAGACTTGGCAAGTATGGTATGCAGAGCCGGATTAAAGAATTTTAGGGCCCTGGGCTAAGGCTGTTCATGAGGCCCCTAATGATGGTGATAATACTATGATGAAGATGGAGGTAACGACGATGACTGCAATATGTATATTTCATCACCTTATAAAATACAAATATTGTACATTTAACTATACATCTTAGAAGGTTTCTGTATCGTTGGATTCAATGACTGGGTAATTCAGTTTCCACTGGGTAGAAATGTAGCGGTTGTTTCGGAAAAAGTCAATCGCTCCCTAAAAGGTACAAAACGCAGAGTAATGAACGATTGTGGAAAATGTTAAGTTTTGCGCACATTGAGCAGCTCCATGGGTCCTCGTAAACTTCCGTCGAAGTTGAAAATGATCACTCCGCATTCCCATGAACTTGTTTGACCCGGTCTACAACCCTATTTATACAGTATGTGTGTCTGTTGGCTTGCATAAATTCATGATGTTGAGTTAGAGAAATGGCACGGATGACCCACTTGATGTCGAGTGGCATGATCACTTGGGCACAAATTGCATTAAACTAACCGAAAGGATACCCACCCAATCCCCATTACAAAAAAAAAAAAAAAAAAAGCAATTTCACTGCCTTCAAAGACGTGCCTCGTGAGACGCAACTCGAAAACTGTCTTGAGAATATAGCGTTTTTATTCTAGTAATTGCTCAAATTGGTTGAAGCTTGTCTAGCTAGCCCTTTATTAATTATTTACTGACTTGGAACAGTAAATCAGCACAGACAACAAATAAGTTTGGTGGTTTAACTATTTGGGGATCAAACCGCATCGCCCACTCTTCTAATAACTGAACTCTCGTGTTTCAAACTAACATACTTGTGCATGCAAATAATAGATTGAATGCAATTAAAATATATCAACCATGGTCATTTGAGCACATTCAGTCATTTCTCATGAAGATCAAGGAAACTGTTTTCCTACATGTCTATTTTACGAGGAAAATGTTTCCATTCGTTTTAGAATCTTCCCATCGTGGTAATTTAGAACTTTGCAGTCATTTGGACGTATTACTCTAAGCTAAAAATAACAAGTTATATTTCAACGGCTTCTAAACATTGCAGTGATTATATCACTCAATGGCGGGAAAGGTGTCTCGCACTGTCAGATCACACAGGCTCCAGAGCAGCTTTGCAATCATTGCTTCTCGAAAACTTTTAAGGGACATCTCAAGAACTGGCTCCTTAAAACACGTTAGTGGTTAGAAAGAATTACTTTAAGAGGTTCACCAATATTTCTTTTTGCTTGTTTTAAACTTTTTGTTTTGGAGAAAAGCTTTCATATCAAACTATGCTAAAGACCCCCAAAAAATAATAGTGTAGAATGTATGTTGCTTGTGTACCCTTCAAAACACTTTCCTTCCAACCCACCATTGTCCGTAAAACGCGTCGAGGGGGCCTCCAGTACAATAGAGAACTCCGTGGCCGTTCTTCTATCTGGTTTCAACTAGAAGACGTCAACGGGACTGCCAGCGTCGACAGCTTTGCTCCCTCCGACAAGGAGGGTGGGAGGCAACGCTTAGTTTGTTGCTCGAGCACAGTTTTTTTACAACGAGCTCACAAACACCAGCTAATCTAGAGAAAGCAACTTCATAGCTTCCCCACTTAAAAAAAAAAAAAAAAAAAGGGGGGGGGGGGGGGGGGGGGCACCAGAAAGCCAGGGCCTAGGGGCTCCTTTGAGTTTTGCTCATACTTTAGGTGTGGGCTGTTTTTGAACTGAAACTGACTAGCATGTTTTTTTTTTTTCTTTTTAATTTTTGGGGGCCAGCATGGAGCCCCCTTAGCCCGTACTTTAATCCGGCCCTGATGGTAACGTATAACCAAGCCACTCATCCCGACCATGAAGAAGGGAGATGATGTGACCTTTCCTATTCAGCAGTTCTGTCAAACCTAGCCATCGTGTAAAGTACACTGACCAGCCAACCATGAGAATGAGAAAATAAGCCCACAAATGGGATGCAGCACATTGAAGGTTAAAGGAACCTCATTGCTAGGATAGCACTTTTTTTTCTTTCTCAACGCAAGAAAAAATTATACAATGTATTTTATTGGTTGAAAGAAGACCATTCAGACACTAAGCAGATGAATAATTGTCAAGTTGCATGCGCTTAGTGACTTGAGAAAGGTGTTGCTGGTGCCACCCTGGCCTGTAAAACTTCATGAAAGACATGAAAACAACCCCGAACAAAAAAAAACAACAAAAGGATTGTGTCACCACTGAAACAAAGGGATAGGAGCATTATCTTAACAAATGCAGAGATGCATTAACAAATAGATTTCAACACACCGACTTGGCAGGACTAGACAAAAGATCCATAAACGGTGCCACACACAAGCTATTGGAGTCGGCAAAGGGGATGTTGAGAGTTGGGCGACACTGGCCAGACTAGGAAATGCTGCACTCCTCCGTACTGATGCCAATCCCCGAGGTCAAGAGGCGAGTCATGATTCCTCTTGAGAGATAGCACGAAGTCACTGATGATGGAGAGTCATAGAAGCTGGTCACATTATTCGGGTCAGAGCCAGGGGACTCCTTCTCAGCCTTGAACATCGCAAAGGCATCCCGGATCAACTAGAAGGGCAAACAAAAAGGATGCCATACTGCATGAAAAACATTTCACATACTTCTAAAAATAAAAAAGGATATCCTGACAAGACTTAGAACATGGACATGATGTTCATGACTACCTTATTATAGGCTGATATTTTTTTTTTTTTTTTTTTGCGGCACTGTCCTTAAATTTAACAGTCAACCTATAATTGCAACAAAAGAAGGACATTTCTGAGCCCATCAAACCAACCAAGATGCTTTGCCAAATCACAGATTTCTCCAAGCTTCAGAATTCCCCGATTTCTCGCCTCAAGGTTCACCGGTTTGGTGAAGCTTGAGGCAAGAAATCGAGAAATTCTGAAGACATTATTGATCACTTTTGAATATTCGAAAAACCCACTTCAAACAGTAAAAGTGTGCTGCAGATTCAAACGAACAGCAAACGCTATTTGAGAGTCAAAAGTCAAATTTCTGGATTTTATGTGTCAAACCAACGAAGAGCGTGTGGCACTCTTTGTGAATCATTCAAAGGTTCCAATATCCTGACACCCCTACACTTGGCAGTTGTGCTCACAGAAGCAAAGAATCTAATGTCAACACACAAAGAGATGTGACAAGCATACAGAAAAGCAATACTTCAGTATCTACTAATAGTTTTTCGGAGCATCTAATGTGTCGAGAGACTGAGGGAGAGGAGGAGACGAGAGCATGCGCACTCTAAAAAAAAAACGTAGGTAGCAACGGCGCGTTTTCCTCCCTTCTACCGACACACCCCCAAGCAGCAGACACGAGAAGGGAGGAACGAGACGTTTTTCTCCTCCAGGCAGACTGGAGAGTGGTGTCGCCCCCGCCTCATCTTCTTTCGGTTTCGTTTTTCGAGCATGTCGCACACATTGTTTAATAAATGTTGTTGAGTTGATTGAGCTTCAGGCAGCAGCAAAGGCCACCTGTTATTCCGTCTCCCAGTACAAATGTGCAGAACATTTCGGTTGCATAGATGTTTTTACCACTAATTTTATCATACATACAAGCAGACAAAACCATTAGAAACAGCGAAGTTCCGGAGCAGTGCCAACAGCACTACGTACACTGGGCCTTTGGATTGTGGAACGGCATGTCAACGTTGACGCTATGGAAACCGCGGAAACTGCGTCCAGGCAGGTTTTGCTGCCGGGTGCCTGGGTACCTTCTGTGCCGAGTTCGGTTCCGTTTTTCGATGCCGAGTGCCAACCGGCCATCAACGTGGTTCTGCATATCTGCGTGTCAGCAACACCGCGATGGCAGTGTTGTGCGTTGTGAACACAAGACTGGAATTATCGCTGATGTGACCGTATGTTCGCGCATCAGTGGTGTAACAACAAGATGAAATGACGTAAAGTGTCGGGCATTGATGTTGCAGGTCGGGCCATGATCGGAGGGGGCGGGGTGTCGCAGGTTGACATTCCGCTTTACATTAAAGAGTTTTAAAGGGGCGCTGACACATCAAAATCATATTTTTTTTTTATTATCCGAAACAACTGAAAACGATGCCGGGACATTACCTTCAATATTCGAAACTTGAGAATTCAGTATTTGGGAATTAAACAAACAATATCCAAATGCCGAATTTGAAGTTCCCGCACGATCCGCGCCAGTGAGTAAAATTTTGAGGTCTCCTGCGACTCGGACTTTCTTTCGGACCTCCGCTTCACGCTATGAAGCAAAGCGCCGTTGCCACCGCGACCCGAGGCGAGGAGGAGGTGAGCAGGCAGGATAGAAGGGTGCCAGCGCAGGAAAAAAAACGGTTTGTTCCCCGACTCGCCGATGATCCTCTGCTCGAGCGCCGCCAAGTTTTCCGAGGGAGGACACAAATCCAGGAAGCGACATCACACCAAACTCCAATTTTTGGTATTTCAAAAAGAGGGGTCATAGTGCGTCCGCAATTGCGTTAAAAGACATGTTTTACGATTGCCGTTATTAAATGTTATAGAAATGTCGCCTACAAAGCTTCTAAATTTTCTGATTTTTGACGTCACCGATCAAAAGAAGCAAGGAGATGATCGGCGGGAGATATAAACGCCAAAAATAAAAAGGCATACACGCGCGCAGGGAAAATTTTTTTTGCGATGCGGTTTTTTTGCGTGTCTATGACTACAACTTGCATCGTTTTAGACAATAAAAAAAAAAATATGACCTTTGGCGTGTCAGTGCCCCTTTAAAGGGGTACTCCGCCGATTTCTTCATGGTCCCCGATTTGCTTGAAATTTTGCTAAACTCGCCAGACAACATCGCCAAAATAGTATCCCAAATATTAGGTCAAAATTTTTTTTTCACGAAGTTATTGAATTTACAATTTTAGTCCTCACCGTGTTTTTCAAACTGAAAGTCTCTACTGGCAACAATGAAAAAGTGACGTCATTGGAAGTGCAGGGGTTCACTCTTTGGACTGTAGAATTTGTTCCCAACTGATTCGAAGCAGTTTCATGGTGTCAAATGAATGCTTTGGAATCTTGCTCCAGTCCCCGCGCTCCAGCACGGAACAAATGATTGGCATATTCTATTTTTTAGACTGCTCGCCCGACTGGCAAGCTAAACTTCCAGTGACATCACGGCCCTGAAAAGGGCGGGTATATTTGAATGTTTGTTTTTGCATCATTTTCGTTTGCCGATTTCGCAATAACTATTATGAATTTCACGATACTAAATAGCATACCAGAAAGGGCAAAGGCCGGGGAGTCAGAAAATATAGTTAGTTGAGGTAGCTCAAAAATCGGCGGAGTACCCCTTTAAGACCGCTTGAGGGATTACCGTGCAAACGATCGACCAGTGGATAGTCAAGTTGGAACCCTGGTCTAAACCATAGCTCCTATCAAGTAGTGGCCAATGTAACTGCTGTCTGCGATGTCCTGTTGTCTCCAACCCTAGAACGATTCCACTCTGGGTAAAGGACTGAACAGTATGGAAATATGACGGAAAGTTTGTATATGTACAGTTTAGAATCTTAGCATTAAGGAAGGATGGCAGCTAAAATAAAAAGCTATCTTTTATTTTGCTGTTTAAATATCCTATGGTTCCTGGAGAAACTGCCCTCCAAGTGGCACGCTGGGATGAATGCTAAACGTTTTCGAGCTCACCACGGCGTAGCTCCGTATACTTAACATGTGCCACAAGTCACGCCTTTGACTGCATTCAAGTTAATTAAAAAGCAATTTTTCTGCCGGTGGAGCATCACTTCCAGCTGGGTGAATACCCCCTCTGTAGAGATTGATTCAAGAAGACAATTGCAGCCGCACGTGAGCAGCACAAATAGAAAAACAAATACTACAATATAAAAACTGGCTCCGACGTGTCATGCGGGGAAGCAAACATCTCGCTTGGAACTGCAGTGGAGCGGCTTGTTTTATTGGCTTTCAAATAATTACGGCATGAGCACTTACTTTTTACTAAGAGAGTCATCCCCTGAGCCATTCAAAATACTCTCAGAGGTATGACATTACTGAAGAAAAAAAATAAACATGCTGGGAATATTATTTATTGCTTAGGTGGTCACTGAGAGAATCTGTACATTCAAAACGACGAATATAAAAGGCGGAAACGCAGAGCTCGGAAGTAGTAATCGGGTTAGTGTGGTGTTGTATTGATGTTTGTGTGTGCCGTGTATGCGCCTAATATATATGTTCAGCTGATGCTTGTAGTATGTGTAATGTATCTACATGTGTGTATAACAAAAGTGCCCAAAGCACAATGGTGGCATGAGAAAATAAAAATAATTTTTGTAGCACATCAATTGGGCGGACCTAACGCCACCTAGCCTAGCTACTTGCAACTACTCTACTTGACCCTGCCATCTGGTGGCAAGCGAGTTAATGTGGTTTCATGCTTCGCAATAATATCTGGTAACCGTGCAACAATGAGCCAAGTAGGCTGCTTCAAATTTGCTCTTTTGAGAGCTGCTTTTGGTTTCGCGAATGGTTTACCACTCCTCTGTGATGTGCGGTTGACGAAGGAATTGCGGCTCGAGGAATAGCAAAGGTGAAATGTAAACTGCTCGAAGTAACTGGCTATGCGCTTGTTTCCATTTAACTTCGCAGTGCTGAGGACGAGAAGACTGAGTGACTGCTTTCGAAACGCAAGTTTCTTTACCTGCAGGGGGAAGCTGGCTTCGAAAATAAATACAGTTCGTGGAAAGCTTGTGTTACACTTTCATTCGCTGCTCCTCTCGCCCTATACAATAGACGCAGCGTTTTCGTTCAGCCTTATTGAGCTCGATTTGCTAAATTCGGGGCTGCCATAATGAGATTCAGGCGATGGAGGAGCTTTGCTCGCCTGCTTTCAGGACAAAAGTTTTTCCCTTTCTGAAAGAACATAGGTTACAAGAGCGTTCCTCCCTTTAGGGAGGACTATAGAGACCCTCTTTTCTAAGAGTGTGCGGGGATGTCAGAACGCCAGGCTCCGACTGGAACAATTAGTGGGTAGACGAAAAACTAGCTGCCTTTGTCACTGCTCGCTCGTCAAACGCATACGAACGCAGAACACTGGACCTCGGCGTTTGGCAATCGAATGTGTTTGAACACTGAGTGGAGACAAAGGCATCTAGCTTTGCGTCTACCCACTAATCCTTCCAACCAGAGCTGGGCATACTCTGACGTCCCCGCATGCTCTCATCTTCTCTCACTCAGTTCCTCGTTGCATAGCTTCTTAGAGAATCGCGTTTCAATGTTTGTGACATACGTCCTCATCGTGCCAGTATATTTTACAGTCGACTCTCGTTAATTCAAAATCTCTTAATTCAAACTTTTGGATAATTCAATTGACCAGGCACATACCACATCGAGGTCGACCTTGTCAGAAAACGAGAACTCGGGGTTCCTCTTCAAAATCACATCAATGACCATAAGGAGCTGAAACAAACAAGGTCATGACGAACATGGAGTTCAAAGAGTTCCGGTAGAGGCTACCTACCTCGATCATAACGTGTCGATACTCTGGAAGTGAGATGTGGCTCAAAAGCATTTCCACTTGAAGTGCAAAGTTTAGGTCGTAGATGGTGAGCTCACTCAACGTCGGTTGCTGAAATGGATTAGTGCCATTTAGGCGTGTGTATGCCGATACAGTGGAACCTCGATTATGCATCTCCGGTTTATGTGACATCCCGCAATTGACGACAAATTTGCCCAGTCCTGACGAACTCCTTATAGAAATAATGTATTGGAAGTTTGGTTTACATGACGCGTGATTCTCCGCCTCCCGCGTCGTACAACGTTCCGGCGGGAAACGCGCAACGAATTTGACAGCTGCATGAGAAGGGGGGCAACAGTGCAGTAAAGAAGAAGAGTTCTGCGCGCTGTTTCAGAGGATCGAAAAACATGCCACCAGCAACCCCAGACAGCCACAGCGATTTCCCTTCTCCTCCCCAGGTCGTGAAATGCCTCGGCATCGCGTTGCGCCCTTGCTCCGCTCATCCCATCGTTCTCTCGTCTCTCATTTACCCTCACTCTCCTTTGCATGCCACTTTGTCCAACTCGTTGCTTCTCCCAGGATTGAGCATGCTTCCGCTGGTTCCCGCTGCTCCTGCTTTCGGAAGGCGTGAAAAGCGACAAGGATCCCATCGTCGCGATTCTGCACGTCGGCGAACAATGTCCCACAAACAGACACCACTGATGATAGGAGAGCAGATTATTAGCTTAGACATGATTTGAAACCTCCGCTCGTCTTTTTCGCTTGAGGCCAATCACTGTATCCGTAATTATTGTTTTTTCGGATGATACGACTGATGGATTATACGACAATTTTGCGCGGTCCCGCAAAAGTCGTATAACCGGGGTTCCACTGTATAATCATTCCAGTCAAAAATGCCAATGCATGCATAGGGAGACTGCCTTGCCTGTGGTAAATGATGCCCACCGACAACAATGCCACCTGGTGTTCGAGTCATCACATCCCACACACGGTCAAAGAAGTCCTTTGGAACTCGACACAATGCTCCCTCAATCTGTCTTGTGCAGTGCTGAGACATCCTAAAACAAGAGATTTCCATGTGAGAACTCAATGCTAGGAGAAGGTATTTCCATACAAACCAGGTACAGTGGAATCTCGTTAATTTGAACTCGTGGGGGACCGGAACTTTGTTTGAATAATACAAAGTTTGAATTACCGGGAGTTTCATCCCTAGAAGCACATAGAACGGGAACTGCATGTTAGTTTGAATCATCCGAGAGTTCGAATTGAGAGGGTTTGAATTAACGAGATTCCAGAGTACAGGGTGTCACAAAAGAAAAGTTACACGGTCTTTTTTACCGCAAAAATAAACGAGGCATCGCCGAACACTCATTCTCCGCCCAAAGGTAGCGCTAGAGGTCACAACCAGATGCCAAAGTTTCAGCCCGATACGATAACTTAATCAAAAGTTATAAGTGATTTTCTGAAAATGTCAATGGGAAAATGGCGGCCGACGGAGTTTTCAAACACGTGGGGCTCTATGGCATCAGAAACTGAAAACAGGCAAAAATGGGCTCCATTTTCCCATTGACATTTTCAGAAAATCACTTATAACTGTTGATTAAGTTATCGGATCGGGCTGAAACTTTGGCAGTTGGTTGTGACCTCTAGCTCTACCTTTGGGCGGAGAATGAGCGTTCAGCGATGCCTAGTTTATTTTTGCAGTAAAAAAAGACCGCGTAAATTTTCTTTTGTGACACCCTGTACTACCAGATTGAAACCACTCGAGTCTCACATCTTGAAAAGCATTAAACAGAACCGCTGTTACCTGTGCTGGGGGAAATTACATTGACAGCAAGCCTGGAGAGTGTTTGAAACATTGCATGGCAATGTTACCAATCTTTCCAACAGACTACTCTTTCATCCTTATTAATATACAGTCCTACACCACCAGTACAACCCAAGGCATCTTAAACTCACAAACATTAGCCCATGTAAAACTGCTAAAATCAACAGGGTACACATAGTTATTTTCCTCCGACACAGAAGTGCTAGTTGCTTTTTTTGCTTATTTTTTCTATCTCCCCAATTTAAATGTTTCCCCGATTTAGCTATGCGACTGACTCCAAGGGACACTGACAGGGTGTTTATGCTCACCAAGGTTTTTACAGCGGAGCTGTTAAGGGCTAGGTTCCCCAGGATCATGTCCAGTATCGAACGTCTATTGACACCAACCTCCCTGGACAGCTACCGCCATCTAAAAGCGACAGGGACAAGCACACAACCAGTCTAGTTGCCGCCGTCGCTCGTAGATGGCACCAACCTTTCCAGCTATCATAGAAGAATGGATAGTTGGGTGCCATTGGTGGGAATTCACCGTAGGAAACAGCGCGAAAAACAGACGACGACAAAGAAGAAGTACACATAACGAGCGCAGCGCTCATCATTTTTTTTACTTCGTCCTCGTCTGTTTTGCACGCTGTTTCCTACGCTATTATCAGTTTCGAGTTTCGGTTTGGACTTAGGATGGGTCGGCCGTGTGCTCTTTCGGGGTAAGAAGACTGGCTGCGGAAGGAGCGGCGACGTACACAGCAGCACGAATGAATCCGCAATTGCCGCAAAGTCGCTGTCACCTCGACTTCCACTGCGTCGAGCGCTTCAGATTCCCTTGCCAAAGAAGAGCACATCGCTCGCCCGGAAAGCCTCCGCCGAGAACTGAACCAGCGATGTAAAGGGCACCGGCGGGCCAACGCCACGGACGACGATCGTGCCACAGAGGCCAAGCGCAAGCGCGAGGCCTGGCAACTGCACTCCACGCTGGCTGAACAGTTCCCGGGCGCGACGGCGAAGTTCCAGAGGGGGCTCGTGGATTACCCATTTGGCGTCAAGTGCGCCGTGTGCGACCGACTCTGGTTCGCCGTAGATGTATCCACGATCGGCAGCGTGTCGGATGAGAAGTAAGAAACAGGCGCCTGCGCGTTGCGGCAATGTATCGAGTACAGCTCCGCTGGTCTTCCTTCTTCACGAGAGTGGAAAGGCTGAACGTTTTTATTTTTACATGATATACGAGAGCCCAACTACCCAGAACACAATTTGCGGCTCGAAATATGTTTTCTTCCCGCCCGAAAACCGCCGATCGAGAACTGGCCGGTTTGAGTCGCGCTCTTTCTCTTCTCCGTGGTCATGTGCCGTTTTCTCTGGTTTAGACACAACCACCAAAGATAATTAAAGTTGTGGGTCATCGAGGCACACACTCAATACTAGAAATGGACAAAACAATGATACCTATTTTTTGTGACTTCTAAACGCTGCAAATAGCCTTGTGATTTTTGCTATCTTTCTCCTCCCCTATATTTCTTCTTCCTCCCCAGTCCAGTTTCGGTTTCGAGCAGTTTCGGCTTTTTACTTTATTAAAAATATATGTGACAATGTAACAAAATATTGATTGGGTAGTCTTCTGACACAATAATAAATCGCCTAGCAAAAAATAAAAGGTTTTTTTGGGGGGGGGGGTTCAGTGTCCCTTTAAAGTTTTTGGTGGCGTTTGAAACTTTCCTGCAGACAAAACGGGGTTCTGCACAATCTAGTGTTGACCATGCCTTGAAAGTTTCAGAGATCCAAGGTGGTACTTTTTCACCTGATATCTGCATTGTCTCGCAGTGTAAACACCTGGTACACCACTTTCCGGAGCTCGCTAGGCGAGAGGCTCTCCAGTGCCTGCATGAGGAAATTCATACAAGATTTTAAAATTTAACCCCACTGTTGCCAGCATAAAAAAAAAAAAATCATACCGGCGGGTTGTCACTGGTGAATTTGAGGTAGAGATTCATTGCATGGATGACAGACCTGCAGTGAAGCAATCAATTGCACAGTTCAGCATTTCAACATTTCCACGCTTCCACATCCCAGTGAATTTAAAATGACAGCTGCCAACACTACTTGGAAAGATATATTGCGCGAGTGCCTACCCCGTTCTAATCTTCAGGATGCCTTCGAAGAGCTTAGGGGTAGTAGAAACAAGGCGGCCGACGTAGACAATGACCTCCTGCAGAAGAACAGCGTGGTAAACGTGGTCTTTGCACTGAGTGTAGATGATGCTCTTGATCTCCTTGGGGGTCAGGGGCTTGTCGATGACTGCCTCGTCTCTACCAAACACGCCTACGGTGATCTGTAGCATAAAGTTGATTCACATTATTCATAAGCCAGAACTGAACATAAGAACCCCTCTTCACATAGTTAGCCAAAGCATGCTCCAGTGTTTGTGCTATCAGTGGACTAGGCTATTATATAGTGTTGTACAGTGTGGGACCCCATTAACAAGGCAATTTTAATCTGTCTTCTATTATATAAGCAACTTCATTTAGGGCACTTGGCCCGAGTGAACGACACATTTGAGGTCAGCACCTTGTACGACGGTCACATTCAGTGCTAAGGGACGTTGTCGAGCTGTGAAAACATTTTCCTCTCAACTGACAATGCCTAAAATGGGTGTAGAAGGCAACTTGATTCACGAAGTTTAACAGCTCCAGTGAATGACGGAAGTATGTAAGAGAGCTAACCAGTAAAGGCTTCCCATAATTTGGAACTTTTTTGGGTTGGATATCATTACAGGGACAATTTGTTCCAGCAATTAAAACAAACCTGCCTAGAAAAATTAGCAAGACAAACTTGCCTGCTTTCCATTGACTAGGATTGCAGTGATGTAAGGGCTCAGGCTATCGACTACTTTGCCCAGAATGCTTGAACAGTGGCGCACAACAGCCCTGAAAGCAAAACGAGGAGGCATGTGAAGTATTCAGTGGTGTAATTACAGGCCACTGCATTGCACCTTGCCATATTTCACAAACTAGAACAGCTAGGGACCTACCAGTGCTTGAGTGCACCAGCTTGCCTTGTCAGTTTCTCAAGCCTATCCTTCAGCATCACTGTAGAGATTAAATATTTCCAAAAAGTTGAGTATGACAACTGCAAATTCTATGAAAAGCAACAAAGACATTCACAGATACTCGAAAAGCTAGAAAACCATGCAATTTCTAAGCACCAATATATTTAGATATTACGCTCTCTAGACAAAACATGCTATATATGAATGGTCCCAGGAGTCCCGAGCTACTCGAAAGGTCACCAATCTGTGAAGAATAAACAAGGTGACATTTACAGAACACAAACACCAAATTCAATTCTTCTGACTTGCCTCCATCAATGGTGAAGTTTGGGCTCACTCTGTGCCACAAAATCCCCAGAAGCTGGCTCTGGCCGTGCAGGGTATCTACATGACTCAGGGCCTCAATGATCTCGTTGTTTGGCTTGCTGTAGAACGACTGAGAAAACAAATTTACAATCTGTTCTGCAAAGACCTCAGATCAGTCTTCCCAGTGCCTGCACTGTATGTAGCATTTAGATTCCACAGTACCGCAAGGCGCTATATTCCATGAACATTATAAGGCTGTGTTATGAGGTAGTGGTGAACTTTACAACAGAATTTTCTACCGTGCAGGGAAAAAAGACACACTAACCGAATAATCATACGATGGTTCGCTGTACGCTATTGCCTTGGGAACATCAGTCAGGCTCTGATATCCTGTGTTGGTGTGCTCCAGCTGTTGAAAGGCCTCAAATTTGGGCAGAGCGTCATGAGGCAGTAGGTGCAGAAAGTCCAAGTGCTCGATACAAGAGGAGGAGATCAGGTTCTGTACAAGGAAGTGCCAGTCTTGACAGATGCCCCCACACCAATATGTGCGTCAATTGCTATACCACATACAAGTGTGCTTCACTGACCTGAAGTCTGCCCATCCTCACTTTCAGTCCATCACAATGGCCCTTCTTGAGCATGGCCAGGAGGTCCAGCAACTCCTTGAAATGAGAGTCCCTGAAACATCAAATTTAAAACCCCCCCTTAACCAGATACCTGTCAAAGACTGTCATAAAAGCATTGCCGACATTTTTTCTACGGTTGCCTGTAGTCAGGGCCGCTCCTAGAGGTGGGCAACCTGGCAGTCGCCCAGGGCACCATGAGAAGGGGGCAGCAGTGGCGCCCCCTTCTTAATTTTTTTTAGCTTTCCGATTCATTTGAACACGGTGCGCGACACAACGCTAAATGCTCGATCGTCGTTCATTTTTGGAATGCGGCTCTCATCTGACAAAGGGCTCGTGGTGGGGTTCACTCAGGGCACTTGATGGTGTAGGGCCGGCCCTGCCTGTGGTAGGTAGATATTTATGATGTAAAATAAAACAGACAAGCTGCCAAAACAAATAAAGCAAGAGGGTGCAAACATGCCTCATGTTGTCTTCCCTTATGACAATAGCCATGGTGGGTCTCCCAGACATGCGCCAATATTTCCCAACAAATGTGAGCTCATTCTGGAACCAGAAGTAGCGTGCCTTATTAGTGTTGAGAACCTGAAAGACAACTTGTCCCACATCTTAAAAGCATGAGATCACCTTGATGTCATCAATTAGCAGCGCCATGTCATGTGAGAGGTAGAAATCGTTGACCTCAAAGATAAGAGGATAACATAGCACTGTTTGGCCACATATCCGGTACAGCTGCAAAATAAAAAAAGGCTCAATCAGTCATCACTCACCAGTAAAAAGTGACTAGCATCGAGTCAACAAAAAGTACTTTGTAATAAAAACTAAGGAAAGGCCCAAGCACCTTGCTCGTTCCCAAGGCTCCAATAGGTCGACGTGGCCTGCCTTTCAAGCCCAGCTTACGATTCACACCCAGAAACTCGTAGACCTGAAAAAGAAACGATAGGAAGCAGCAAAAAAGTAATATTTTATCCAGTGATACCATATACAGCAGGGGTGGCCAGGCTGACCCGGCCTAAGAGCCGCAAACAAAACCACGAAACTTCCAAGAGCCGTGGGGGGGGCAGGCTTTTGTCTAGCAATAAACGGAACTCGAACTACTTTCAGTTTATCCGAGTCAAAAACAGTCCAACTGTATGCAAGGTAGCAGTAGCACAAGACTACCAAACCGCAACTTCTCTTTCGATTTAAAACATGTTCCATTTCTCTTTTTGGGGAAGTGCTCGTGTGACTGGGAGGGAGGCGGGAAAGTGGGGTGGGAGGGGGGGGGGGGGGGGGGGGGAGGGGGGGAGGGGGGGAGCTGCAAGCCGCACTTTAACACGCAAAGAGCTGCAGCTTGGCCACCCCTGATATTCAGCTAGTCTCGCATGACAGACAAAACTTAAGACAGATTACAAAAGAATTTTAATTGATTAATTAGTAATTTTCAGAGGTTAACAGAGGGAGATGCTAAAGTGCACTCTACTAGATTTTGTATGCATTTTCTTTCCTCTAATTTTACAAAACAATTCCTAGTATTCTAATGAGTTCACAGGCCAGTTCAATGCTAATTATGGGTCAACTTGACACTGATTTGATTGCACATCATTTTCTTTGGTGCTCTATTTCCTGTGCAAGGCAAAGATTTAAAACAAAAAGACGAAAGAAGGAGGGAAGGGGGGGATATGGAAGCACTGGGTCAAGGGCAGCTGCCTCAGACACTGGCACTTTCTCTTTCAGCCTGCCCTTGATTAAGCCATGGTTTGTGTATCTACTATCATGACAGTAGCTAAGCTAAAGAAAGCAATATGAAATCCCCAAACACTTGTTTTAATAACTGCAAGCTAAACGTAATAATGGCGAAACTTGCACTAAACTAAACAGGTAAGAAAATTAAATGCACCCCAGCTGGCTGCCATGAGCATACGCATTCCTCCTAATAGGTGGAAAAGAGCACACCTTCATCAGTTGTTTGGGAGACCAGATCTGGACAGGCTCCACTTCATGGGGCGTCTGAGTTTGAATCCCATAGGTGGCCATCATGGCTTGTAGCCGCATGCTCTCTGCTATCAGCACCACTTGCACCACTAGGTCTGTGGCCGCACTCTGGAACACCGGAGATGGGTCACCTTCAAGGCCAACCAACTTAGGCAGTCAAGTGAATTTCAAGCTTTCAATGTTTCATGCCAAGCACAAGCAAACAAACAAAATGGTTGCAGCTCCCAAATATGGCAATGCCCTCAATTCAAAGATCCTAAGTCCCTACCACTTGTTGATGATTAAATGTCTTTCCACTTTAAAAAGATAAAAAGCCCCCAAAGCAAAGAAAACTTTCCTAGGCAACACCAGTTCTCCATAAACCTTCACAAATAGCAGAAAATATGATTTGGCATCACAATGGTCAAACTACAACACTGAAAACAGCTCAACACAGAAATGTGCATGTGCAATATTAGTTGAACTGACTAGATTCTAGCATAATCATGCAACTCGCTGTACAACAGCCTCTGCTATCTGCAATTGGCTGTACACAAATCCTGCTAGTGGAAACTCAAAACTCTCACAGATAACATCATAGCATGTGCATACACCGCCACAGAATAGTGCACCATTTGAAACATGAATATGCCACGCTACAAGAGTTCTGCTTTCAGATTTCTCACATTTTGTCTCAACCAAGTCATAGAAACAGGCACACTACTCAACAGCAATCAGACTTGATTACCGTAAAATACTGGGCGAGCGCCCACCCCCCTTTCACTGAAAACCGGGTTAATATAGGCATGGGCGCTTGTCTGGTCAAATCAGATACTAAACATACTATAATTTTCAGAATTCTCAAGTTTGGGAAATGTTAAACTGGGCCCTTGAACGAAGTGGGCGCTTCCACAGTATTTTACGGCAAGTCTTTTGAGATATGGCAGCTTCCTTTAGTTGGAAAGGGAAGTGCTGTCACAAATAGCTGCCTTAAAGCTGGCCGTATGCATGCAGCTGCAAGCACGAACAGCAAACAAGGCACAGTTGAATGACTACTAGGCTGTCCTGGACCTGCAAATCTTGCTTGCTGGGATGATAGCAAGCAGAGCGTGCAAGCATGAAGGGACAATACTTACAACCGCCTTGCCCTGGCATGATCATAGCCACCGGAATCCATATTTTGTTTAGTTTTAACGTGCAAAGACAGCACAGGGAGGAAAACACAGAGTAAAAAGGCTGAATAGAAACATTTTATGGAAAAATTTCCTTCACACAATAAGTATACGCACACGCACACACACATACACACACACACACACACACACACGCGCGCGCGCACGTATGCATAAAGTCAGTGTATATAGAATGTAAGCAAATTTATACTTCAGTTTGCAATCAAAAAAATTCAATCTGATCCCCAATTTCTGTTAATAAAACATCACGAATGGGGCAGGTTCGCGATAATTTAAACTCGGATATTTCATACTCCTGGTTAATTCAAACAAATTTCAGAATTTTGGTTGTCCCGCCATGTTTTTAATGTATGCATAAGCCGCTTCATTCGAACGGCATTTTCGTGCAATTCATACTTTTTGCTCTCGCGGCCCCGTTGAGTGCGCTTCTTTCCGAGCACCGGTGCACTGCAGAGAGGCAACACCGGCGTAGCTTGCTTCTGTGGGTATTGCTTCTCAGCAGTGCACCGGTGCTCGGTGAGAAGCGCACTCAACGGGGCTTAAGCGGGCACACACGAGCTATCAAAACGGGCACTACGCGAAAATTTCCATAACAAGTTGCGCGGATGCTGTGACCTGGTGGCATGACATAGGTCCAAGTCACAGCGTCCGCACCAAGTTGCTATAAAAACTGCCGTGCCATGCTCGTTCTCTACGCTCGTGTGTCCCCTGCTTCATAGTCCACATTAGACAACTTCTTGGCCTGATGAACAAACTTAATTTTGTTTGGAGTTGTCGTGTGCTGTCAAACAGTCCACGATAAACAACATTTCTGAGGGATAAAAAAACTTATGTCATACATTTCCCAAATGCTTCAAGTGTGGCACACCTGCTTATGATCAGTAGGCCTATGTAGAGGAAATCGTCAAATATTTGCTTTGTATGTGTAGTCAGTCATCTGGCAAATCATAATGTTATCTTGCATCATATTTAGATGAATTTCTGATAATTCAAACGAAATTCATGGCTTCCTGGAGTTTGAATTAATGAGAGTCTACTGTACAATACATCCTTTAATGTAAGCATAATTGAGGTTTGAAAGAAAAGGAAGTCTACCAGTGATGAAAACCATACCTAACACAAGGTTGCAGAAAGCGCGTTGATTTACTCACCCTGCTAAAAATTCTACACCAACAGACTTGCTCAAGTTTGAAATGCCAACTGATGAGGCCACGAGAGGCAACAACTCGAAAAAGTTAAAACTATTTTTCACAGTTATCACCTATATAGCCCAGGAACTTGCTTCTATGAAATGGAATGACCTGGTAATAGGCATGTTTCAGAAAGAACTACAAATGCATGTATATGTGGCAGCAGATGTCAGAACTGAACAGGTTGCCCATACAGGAACCGTGAAGTTTTGAGAAGAAAAATGATTATGACCATCAAAATTGATGGCAATAAAGCACCATTGTAAATGGTGATCTGTGAGCTCATAAATATCAACAAGATGAGTATCTGAACAAAATCTTGAGTTACTGATAAAACTACCAGTACTCCAAACGGTTGTGCTTGGGTCTTCTGAACATGTGTCAAAGAAAGCATGCAATAAAATAAAAATGTTCACATATGTCACCGAATTCTTGCAACATTCTGAATGCATTCCAAACCGATTCACATTCTCTTTCAGTTTGAGCTTTTCATGTTGACAGACACCCCGAGGGCATATATTGTTACATACAGCTGGGAAAATTAAAAAAAAAAATGCCAGTTTGATAGTTTCAAAAGCATCATACTCACAGTTCAAGCATAATGACAAACAGTTTGCACTCATCAATGTACCATAAAAATTCCACACCAAAGGCACCTCTCACATTTCACTTCAGAAGTTATATGGCATTACAAAGGGTGCAGGTGCAAGGGCACAGGTAAAAGGGGTACAGCCCAGCAAAGTGTGTTGTTTGTACGGGCAGTCGAGCAACAAAGGAACCTCTTATAGCTATACTACAAGGGTTGTTCAAGGCTGACCTGGACTTTTGTTTATAAGAAATGGCTGAACAAGTTTAGCATGTCGATACTTGCGTAGGACGATTAACATAATCCTTCTTGAATATCCAGTGCCTAAAACAACATATTTGAAGCATCTGTAAGAGCTCCAGCTATCATGGCAACGAGCAATGTGTCTAGATGTGGAGTAGTGGAGAAAAATCACATTTCTGGTGAAAGGGAAAGTTAAACCAGCTGAAATTTTGAAAAGAATGCAAGGACAGTATGGAGGACAAACAATCCTATGAACAAGAGTGTAAGAATGGCGACAACAGTTTCGCAATAGACGACAATCAGTGACAAATGAACTGCACAAACATATTCATTCGACTGGAGTCATGCAACCCAGTTTTCTCTATGTCAAAGGAATCTTGGAGCTTCCAAAACGGCAGTGGTGCCAGGATGCCCAAAGGAAATACTTTGAACAGCTGATATAGTTCCCTGCTTATCCTATTCGCCATTTCCTTTGTAGAAATAAAAGTCCCGGTCAACCCTGAACGACCTTTGTACATGAGCCTGCACTGCAGCTGCAGGATTTTTAAGGCAGAAAATTATTACAACAGCAACCCTGTTCTTCGAACAAACACACCACCAAGATCACCTTACTTGGAAGGCAGAGTATCTGTCCGTTCTGCGTGGCCGATTGCAGGACGGCAAGTAGCGACGCACTGGATCCAGCTCTGTGATGTGCAGTAGGCCTTCCACTGCAGTAAGTGGACAGTCACGCATCGTGGGCACCCAAGGTAAGATGACAGTAGCCGGGAAACTTACGCAAGAGCTTCGAGATGATGTGCAGAGCCTGGCCCATCATGAACAGGTTATCCACATCCCCCTCGGCACTCGGAAGCCGGGGCTGGGAGCCTGGTTCGGCCCTCTCGGCCTCCAGGAATTCTTTTGGCACGTAGAAGTACATGGGAACAATGTAATCTGCGAAAAGAAGGAAAGTACAAGAGCCATTAGCCACAGAAGCAGCTCATAAAACTGTAGGAAGGCAGTCGAGACAAACTGTCGGACGAGAAGAAGCCCTCCAGAGACCTCCAATAAAGTGCTAGGTTTCTAATAGACTGCCCTGAAGATGAAGAGGGATGGTTTCACAAAAAAATCAGCATCTTCTTTCTTCATGACCCATGAGGCACATGTACCCATCAAGAAAGTCACAAAGAAAATTGGTAGCTTAAGGAAAAAGCCCTAGAAAAACCATGTTCTGATTTTTAAGAAGTCTCAACATGCTCAATAAATCTCCAATGCATTATGAAAGGGCCTCTGACACCTTAAAATTAACTCCTCTGAAACTGCCAAACTACTTGACAATAGCTTACCTGCAAAGAAAACCCTTTTACCCCCCTTCCGGAAGTGCCAGATACAATTCCTTTGTGTGCCAAGGGACGTTCTATGTCCTGCTGCCTGCCGAGAACTCGGGAAGCTTTGATGCAAGAGGATACACAATATTCTATTCATCTGAGTTTATCGTAAAAATTCATTTTTTTAATGCGACCGAAATCGTTGAACGTATAGCAAACCACCACAGTGGAACTGCACTCCCGTTTCATGATAACTCGGCAAACTGTGGAGGCTGCTGCCCCTGTAACCCAACGAGAGCGTAGGAGCAAGGCACATGACAACACTCCATGGTCGAGGCCACAGAGGCCTCGTCCACGGAGACCTCGTAAAGCTCTCGTGACATGGTGTCACGTGCCTCGCTCCGACGCTCTTATTGGATCGCAGGGGCCCTAGCCTCCATCGCCAAGCTATCGTGAAATGGAGTATACTAGAACAGTGGTGTCACTACGGGGGAGTGGTGGGGGGGGCGGACCGCCCCGGGCGAAGCGCACAGATGGATGTCGCGGCGGGCCACCGCCGCTGACCCTAGTGACGCCACTGTAGTAGAAACAAGTGAGTACATTCTGTATTTGTAGGTGTGTTTTACAATATTCCGAAATAAACTAAATTTATCTTCTGAAGCTCGAAAATTCTTATTATTCTTCATTAGGTACAATCTAAAAAAAGAAAGAAAGCCAGCTTTACCAATTTCAAAAGGCAAAAGTTTCGTATAAACTTTTTTTTGTTCCTAAAAAATGTAATTTCTGGGCGATCAAGCCCACAACAAAGGTGAAAATTAAAGAAACTTAGAATAGGCAATATTACTATGTCAGTGGCTTTTTGAACTGATAGCCAGCCACCAAACAAAGCCTTTTCTTCCTACGCTAACTTTACCTTCCCATTCTTTTAGCACCTCCTTGGACCAATCCGTGTTTCCTGGAAACAGCAGTCAAAGTTTGTGTGACTTAGAAGCTAACACTAATCCTGAGACACCGTAATGAAATGCATAAGGCACGCTATACGCTCTCCACAATGTCACTGTAAAAAAAAAAATGTGCTTCAAGTTTGTATTTTACAATGGCACATATGATTACCTCCGCTGCATTTCCCGGATTCATGTGCTGGTTCTGAAACACTAAATAAACAGCCTGTATCTGGAAAAAGTATTGCAACGAATGGAGCAGTCAGACATCCAGCGGCAATAAAAAGTTTGGTTTGGACGTTATATAACAGGAACGGAACAAATCCCGTTTGAGAGGCATCGCCCTCTGTACTTTTACCTTTGCGCGGAGGAGTCTCTAAGCATGCATCTGAAAATATATGTAGTATACAATTTTGGATTAATGCCTATGAAATGGAAGTGGATGATATATACTATATAGAAACTGAGCCTAGAGCAGCAAATAATTTACCCAAAGCTCTTTAAATAATTTTAATTGCAGAAAAACGATAAAACTGAAACCAAAATTAACTTGCAATCTTACTATACATTGTTTCAGCTTCAGTACAGACGGAGCCGACGCGACGAGGAAATGGAGCCAATCAAGCAGCGTCAAAATAGCAAGTCACAGGACATCTTTTGTTTATGATTGGTTCAACGATGATAGAACACGTACAGAAACATGACGAACACCATGAAGGTGTGCTTTTGACGCTGTCCGATAGGTCTTGTCGGACTCGTAGCGTCGGCTTAAAGTGAAACAAAGTATAGTTCGCCATCCTGCCGTGGCGTCTGATGTTGTATAAACATCAGCAAGTGGGCAGCTTAAGCCTCTTTCCCCAGCATCAGAAACTGTAGGAAGGCCGTGGCGGCTGCTTGTGGGCAACAATGGATTATGATTAATCAAGCTTGTCTGAGTCAAGCAATGACCAGCAAATGTTTTAAGATTTTCAGCAAGATGTTTCTAACAATTTGCTGTTCGCATTTAATCCATCGTCATTGCCTCCAAGGGGGCCACCCATCGCGGCTGCATCCGCGATCCGCCAACATGTATCAGGTGCCGCTTCACAAGCAGAATGGCATGGAAGCTTTGTTAGCACGGTAAAACTTGTTTGCTAGCACGACGCAAACGCTAGCTCCCAGTGTTCGCATTGTGCTAGCAAACAAGCTAATGGGGAAATGCTACCATGCAACAATGCCTTGCAAGCACGCCTACCCGCGTGTTTCAGAAAGCTCAACTAAGTCCTCGAATTGCACCGTGCCCCCTGGCTGTGCATGGGTGCATTCGTCACTTGCAGTCTTTACTGTAGCATAAATAAAACCACTCATAGGTAGTTCTCCCAAGTTCATTATTCTTCAGATTCGTTGGCATAAATTTACATTTATTTATATGTCCCAAATTATAGTTTACCAGTGATCATATTTACGGAGCTTTAGTCGTACGATAAAAATTGAGAGCAAAGCGGGGAAAACTAAAGGAGCCATTTCCCCGGCACAGTTTGATACCATGTGAAACTCAAACCGCTGATTATGAATTAGGGTGGCATTGCGCTCCACTTTTTTCGCTCATAGCTAAAGGAAAGATCCGGAGAGCCAGTGCCAAATATGCACCTCCATACTTGTCCCTCTTGAGCCTGGGTGCCAGGAGCTGTTTGTACTTCTGGACTTGCTCGTCGTGGCCCTTGAATATCCCTGGCCAAACCACAATGCACTTAACAAAGACGCTCAACTGCAGGACATCAGAATGATAATAAAGATAGCCACTTACCATCCAGAATCATCAAAATAAAAAACATTGGCCATTCCGACTCAATGTTTTCAAATGCCTGGAAGAAACAAAACCCACACTCAGCATCACTGTAATTAATGTGTCCAAAGACCAAGGCTTCATGAGAGAATAAAGAAACCTAAAATGAGGTGCTGGAAAATTTTTGACCTCACTTGAAGAAGCCCAAGAATTTCAAGAGCGCTCAAGCGAGAACAGACATTGAATAATGTATTATGTCGTGCTCATACCCAAGGTGGATTCGTTATGATCTTTAGGCTTCATGATGGGCTACTACATGCCACTGTGATCAATGACTAGTGTCCATCCTCAAATCCGACCCCTGCTCCTTCAAAAGGGCAACACTCGTTCATAAATGCAATGGAGAATGAAGATTCTCGGCGAGATGAAGACTGTAGGATCCAATTCAAATTTACTACTCAAACAGTTTTCGCAGTCTGTCTGGTGTACCGCCCAACTGGCTAATCACCTGGTCGCTTACATGGTGCATGGTGCAGTGTAAGGTACATGATGTAGTCCATACTTTCTAAAGTGGACTCTTAAGCATTGCTTCACTTAAACTTATTGCCACAATAAACTCCAGAAAGTTTGATTTCGAGGTTTTTTGTGTCAAACCAATGAAGAGCATCTGGCACGCCCCGGCCAGAGGACTGAGGACTAATTTCAACCACCTGAGGATCTTTTAACGTCCAACCGAAAGCTTGGTTACACGGCCTCCTCAATAAGCCTCCATCAGATTGCAGGCACCTCGGCTGGGATTCGAACCCGCCACATAGGGATTCGTAGGCCAGCGCTTTGCTTCAGAACCACCGAGGTGGCTTTCCATATATAGCTAGAGTTGAACCTAATAAGCTGAATGCAGTGGTAACTTACAACAGAAACCTTTAGAAGAATTTTCATGCAAGTATGTAATAACATTCTATAGCGATACGTGAGGTTAGTACTCTCGGGAACTGGTAGCCCAGGGAAGCACTCACTTTGGTCTCTCCTGACGTGTAGTACTTTCGACTTCGATCTTCGAGCACGGTTCCGTAACCATCACGCAGAAAACGCTTGATGCCGTAGCTGCTACGATGAAGTTTCCGTATCACCTTGTCCTTTGTGCGCCTATACAGGTAGTCGTCGTGGGTTGCAAAACAAGGGAAGCTCACAGCCATCAGCAGCCCTGTGTCTGTATTCTAGGGTCAAAAACTTACAATAATTAGGCAAATGTATGTTATATGGACAATATTTTTTTCTTCTACCATAATACAATTCTACTAAACATTTATCCCTTGGAAATACCAGTGAAGCATTCCACTTATTAAAATGAAATATATATATTTTTGTGTCTAATTAGGTTTGGTATATTTTAAAATGTACACTTTGTACAAATTATTCAATTTGACAGTTACAATGTTACATTGAAATTAAAAATGAGTGGGATGTAATGACTGTGTATGTGCATACGTTAAATATAGACGAAATGGAAAACAGAGCTTCCTGGTACACCTGAAGGAACTAAGACAACTTTTTAAAAGTAAAGCATCACACTCTAGGAATAAGTTTCTTGCTTCTCTTGATGATAAGATCAAATGGAAACCAAAAGAATTTCTGAGAAACGTGAGCAGCTGGAACAAACAATCTTTCAGTGATTCAGGATAGGTAGTTGGTAATGAAGCTAACAAAGCAAGCCCCTTTAATAGCTATTTAAAATCTGCATTTCTGCCACCTACGGTGGGTGACCTCCTCTCACTCCCACGCCTCTAGAAGACAACACGTTGGATATTGAACTTCGTTAAGATGGGATTCTTAATTTGCTAGATAAAATTGATGGTATATTTTGCCGTATATTAAAAGAGCATTCCGGCATTTTTTCTAGTTTTTACATCTTCTATTTGATACTTCGTTGTCCTGTGAAAAACTGCCGAATGAATGGAAAACAGTGCATGTTGTTCCTGCTCATAAAAGTGGGGAAAAACAGAGTAGAAAACTACACGCCAATCTCTCTTCTTTGTGGGTACTCAGATAGTAGACTTCTATCACAATATTTCTTCTTCTTTCGATAAAGTCATACAAGTAATAGACTGCATTTTTCTAGACTTCCAGAAAGCATTTGATATGGTCTCCCATAAGCTGATCCTACACAAATTAAAGTTTTTGAATATCCCTGAAAATATCATTTGGCTTAATGACTATCTGACAATAGAAAACAGGCTGTTTTAGTTACCGAAAACATGTTGCCGTAAGTACAACATCAGGTGTCCCGCAGGAATCGGTGCTAGGACCGTCTTTATTTTTAATATATGTAAATAACATTTTTACAGAAATTAGGTCAAGTATTCGCCTTTATGGGGACAATTGTGTTTTATATCGCAACATAAAGTCAGATTCAGGCTGTCTGGCGTTGCAGGAAGATAGTGATCGCATGGTGAGATGATGCAAAATATAAAAAATTAAATTAAATACTCTGAAATAGATAACATTCACCCAAAAGCAACAACCAGTTTCCTTTACTTATACAGTCGACGACGTCCCTTTACAAAAAGGTAAAAAAAGTAAAATATTTGGGTGTTCATTTTTCACAAAATTTATCTTGGAGCGTGCATGTAGATTTCATGACAATCAAAGTCAACCGCGTGTTAAATTTGTTTAGGAGAAACTTTCGAGACTGTCCTTCCACTGTAAAAAGCACAGTTTTTTCTCAAATATGCCTGCATACTCTGGGACCTTAAAGAATGCTACTTTAAACAGAAAATGGAGCAAATACAAAGCAAAGCAGCTAGGTTACAAAAAAAATTACAATTGAACGCAAAGTGTCAGAGCCCTTAAATGGTAAACCCTTAAACTCTAGAAGACGCCGTCTTCACTTGAAATTTTTAAATATGATATACCTTGACCAAACTGGATTGTATAAATCTAAATTCATTCAACCACCGCACTTTGTATCACGTAGACTAGATCATTCTAAGAAAATTACAGTTAGGTAACAGCTAGGACCAATGTATTTCAATTCTGATTTTTTCCCAATACTATTAAACAATGGAATGAACTGACTGATGACACTATTTTGATTTCATAGACTGCTCATTTTTTAGATAAACTGTCATGTGATAGTTGGGTAGAAAAAAAAGTAAATTTTCTTTTTGTGAATGTGCGTTTTCAGAGTGCTTACTTTGCAACACTGTGTTTGGGTCTGCTCTGTTTTTCAAGATACCTGTAAATGTGATGATTGATAAGATTGGCATAAAATACAAGCTTTTTTTTATCTTTACATCGCAATGGAGTGAAATGCAGGTCTTGATACTTTTGCATGTACTGAAATTCACACTTTTTGGTGGCATTATTTTAATATCAATGTGGATCCCATTTGTTAGAGGCTTGATTTTGTAGCACAATTTTGATGTGCAAACTTGCTTTCTTACGCATTAATTTGAATGAGTGTATTTCTTGTACAAATGTATCCTCGCACCACTTTTCTACTTCCCCCTCCCTCCCTTGGCGATAATGAATGCCTCTTGGTGCTGCGGGGTAACATGTAATAAAAAATCCTAAAAATCACTAGGTATTTACAGACAAATTACTTTGTGAACAATGAGACAAACTTCATGACACTGTTTCACAAAAGCAGGAATTACCATATAAACAAACATGTACTGCAATTAAAAAACAGTGAAGGAAATATACTGCATTACAAAGCTTCAAACATGGAATGTGTAAATGCAAATCGTGCCCTTACAGGAAAATACTGTTATCCTCATTAGTTCTGCAGAGGAATGCGTTCAGAGGACAGTTCATAGCTCCTTAAAGACCGACAACCAGTTCGCGCTTTCCAGTTTTCCCTTGTTTTCTGCTCTCCCCCCTTTTACCCTGTCCACCATTGCCTTTTTCCTCCTCCCCGATGGTGAGAAGGATCTTCTGCCTCGCAGAATCTCGAGTCTGGTCATCGGTCTTTAACCACTTAGATGTAAGGGGTTAGGACACGCCAAAAAATAAAGTATGAGATAACTATACTGCTAGGACCCATTATATGTTCCTATATTTCTGCTAAGTTTGTTTTGAAAATGGTGCGATAGCTTCATGGGTAAAACTATTTATATGTAGGACCCTCAGATCCTACCTATTCGGAAAGGCCGCCATGTTTGTTGTGTCGGTGACGCCATTCGCCCAACGCGCGTTGTCCCCTTACACGCACTCACAGACTCGTACTTCAGCTTCCTCGTTTACCTTTTGCGTTTTGAGCATGCAATTCACGATGATTAAGTCCGTGACATTGCTCGCTTCGTCGAAGTCTTCAACACTGATCGCCGATTGCTATCAAGAGATGTTGGAAGCTGGTCATTTTGACTGCGACCTGCTGGCGACCAGCTCCAGCTATGACAAGATCGTCACAGACGAACTCGCCATGGTCACTGTCGTCCACAACTATCTTGCACGCGCATGCAGGGTGGAAGGTCAAAGGGCCGGGGGTAAGAGTGAGAGTAGTGTTGGAGTATCCGAGTTGCGCTAGAAGTTTCGATCGTACTGTGGCGAGGCGAGCTTCGGCGAGCATGGGGGCGCCTAAAATGAGAGGACATTCATCAGGTGCTTTATGGGCACCATGGTGTGACTAACTTGGGCAGTGTTGCCTGGTCGCAAAACCAAAATTATCAACATTTGTTGATTGATTATCGCAATTAATAGAGCTCTAAAAATCATGAAACTTGGTGTATTCGCCTATGAGCATTCCAGTTCAAGAATAATCTACCCGTTTAATGTTTGTGTCCTAACCCCTTTAAAAAGCCACATAATTATAGTTAATACACCATCAACATGTATGTACCAACCTTTGAACTTGATTCTCTCGGAAGCAAGGTTTCAAAGATGCTACGGTTGCGATTATGAGCATCCACATCCACATAGATGACGGACCACGATGCTCCCTTGTCGCCAAACAGGTTGCAGCCATTAATGGCCTCCAGGGCTGACTTGGCCATGCCAATGGAGCTGCAGCACAAACAGTGGCGGTATTGAGGCCACGTCCGAGCACAGATGACTCGGTCTGTTGCTAATAGCCAGTCTTAGAAAAGCGTACCCAAAAGCTTTGCGTGCACAAAAAAATAGAGTCGCTGCCATGGGCCAATCCAAAATCAGTTTGGATTTGCCACATGCGAGGTAGTGTTGACACTATTTCTTTCCGTATGCAAAGCTTTTGGGTACACTATGCTGAAACTCCCTAATGTTGTCCCATCTGCCTACAGTAAAAGACCTACCTGGAGTGAATCTCAGGGGTACCATTGTTGTACTTGCTGCCTCTTTCCCACATGCCAAAGTCAGGAGTGCGGTATGCACGCTCCACATAGTACACCAGGTTCTGTACAAAGTTCACTTCATCCATTGTATAAATGATCTGCAAAAATGTTGAACGGTAAAGAAAATGTCTCGCAAATTGAGTAACCTTATACTGAGCAACAATCAATGCACAAAGCTGGAGGCATCATTCCCAATGCAATGGGTAAGTGTTTGCATAAAGCTGCACAGACAAAGTGTGCAACTAGTGGTGTAATCCATCATGCACCTCCTCATAATTACATTATCACAAAAATGCTGCATATTTCTAGACACTCACCTGTAGACCTGAGGTAATCATTTGAACAAGATACAGTAGATAAAGTGAAACTGAATCGATCTGAAAATATGAAAAAGAATCCAATTAAAGCTCAATTGAACTACTTATTGGCTCATCAAAGAACAATCTGAGAGCCAAAAGTAAGCAGACAGCAGTTCTATTTTTAAAGGACCACTCAAGCAAAAAGTCAGCCTCGTTTGTTTGGTTTGAAACAAAATTTCAGCCCTAGACAACTAGACAAAACTCAACACACACTTTCAGTTGCCCATCCAAAATATGAAGAGTAAAAACCACACCTTTTAATTTATTTATTTTGTTTAATTCAGAAAAAAATGCAGATAATTCACCATTCAAGTAGAAGGGGGTCACACCAAATTTCTAAGAAAATGTTCAAAACAGTCGATACTTGGAGCATGTACACCCGCCGGCAATATGAAGGTGAACACCTTACCTGGCTCCTTGACTGCTTTACGGCTCCCTAAAGCTATATTAACTCTCAACGTCTCAAATGGTTTATAGCTTGGGGTCTGAACTTTGCTTTCTAGCCCTCTTCTGGAACAGAGCTCGTTCCAAAACTTGCAGGAGCGTCAAAAAGTGAAAGCCGTTTACAACTCCCTGTAATGCCGAATTGGAGCGCAGCTCTTGAGGGGGAGGAGGGAAGGGTACTGACGGCCACGTGTTCTCGAGAAGGGGGGGTCACGTGACCCCCCCGAGGGCACGTGACCTTGGTGGGGTCACGTGGGGGAGTCACGTGCCCCCTTACGAGGTCACGTGACCTCGGGAGGGGTCACGTGACCTCGGGGTGTCACGTGACTCCCCAGGTCACGTGACCAAATTTCCCCGCTAGATTTAGCAGGGAAATTTTTTCCGCTAGATTTAGCGGGGAAATTTTTTCCGCTAGATTTAGCAGAGAAATTTTTTCCGCTATATTTAGCAGGGAAATTTTCGCGCTAGATTTAGCGGGGAAATTTTTTCTGCTAGATTTAGCGGGGAAATTTTTCCGCTGGATTTAGCGGGGAAATTTTTCCGCTAGATTTAGCGGGGAAATTTTTTCCGCTAGATTTAGCTGGGAAATTTTTCCGCTAGATTTAGCGGGAAATTTTTTCGCTAAATTTAGCGGGGAAATTTTTCCGCTAGATTCAGCGGGGAAATTTTTCCACTAGATTTAGCGGGGAAATTTTTTCCGCTAGATTTAGCGGAGAAATCTTTTCGCTATATTTAGCAGGGAAAATTACCCATAATGCACCGCGCGGTTACGCCGACGGCGACGCCGCTCAAGCCGGAAACGGGCGCCTAAGAGCTGCGCTCTAAAACAAGAAGAGGGCTGTTCACCTTCATATCGCTCACGTGTGCACACAGTCGGACGGCAGTGAATTCCCATTTATAAAAGCATAATTCTGACATTGTTTGAGTGATTCAGTCTTGCTGAAAACACCTGAACGTAAACATCTTTCTACCCTCTCCTGAAGCACTACAAATGCCCGAGATTAGCAGTGAGTACACCTCTCATGAGTGAACATTCACATGCAGACTCACTGATGCGAACGTCTTCACTGCAACAAAACTATGGCACAGAAATTTTGTTTTTGGGGGGAGGGCTACAGCGGCAAGAAGCTTAATGCTTTTCAGGTACAGGCCACACATTCCCATCTCGCATGAAGTGTGAATGCAACCTTACCTGAAGGTGGCCATAATCACTCTCAGGAATGATAGTCATTCCGGACTTGAGATGGAAAATGGAGTGGAGGGCATGCTGTGGTCCTTGTTCGACTTTGAATTTCTCCATCTGCAGCAGAAATGCAAGAGCATATCCTTATCACTTCTTTGCTTCAATACAGCAGGGTCCCCCAGGCAAGGAAAGGGACAATGCCGTGAAAGGGGCACCTTGTCTTTGGACTGTCGCATCCAGCAGAAGAGGATACCCCGCATGCACTTGACCACGCTCTGTCCCAGCTCATATGACTTCCCCCGGTCATCGTCTATCCTCCTGCAACACAGATGAAGAAAAGCAGAGGCCCGTGTTACAATATTCATCAGCTATTATAGCTTCTGCAATACTGATGAGCATGAAAAGAAGCTAGCATGAATGATTCTACAACCGACTGGATACACTTGAGAAGATGGTGATATTAACAGGTCAACATGCCACTCAAGAGTCATCCACCCTAGAGGAAGCCACTGGTGGTCATTGCACCACATTCACTCACTGTTAGCACTGAGTGCAAATAGCCAAGTGAGGGAGAATCCATACCACAGGGGTTTCAATATGAAAGCATTGACAGCCACTGGTGCTACACCCAGATAATACGGAAGGGGTACTGTTACTCCATCTGGTGCCAGACTCCATGCTCATAATTTACATTATGAGCATGAGCTCAGCACAGTGCTCAGAGGAGAGCATCATACAGAGCCCTCAATCTTGTCAATGGTGGACAGTGCCTCAGTACCTCCCACCACACCTTTTTTCACCTGGCCATAATGGCACTGCTCATATCTTTGCAACCTACAGAAATTGGGCAAAGGGGAATCTCAAGATGGAGCAAAATATAAAGAATAAACTACTATACCCCTCTGAAAAGGTTTTCCAAGATTTTCTCCAAGGGGTGCCGTTTTCACAAAATGGCAGCTTGATACTGAGATCATGCACTTGTCGGTCCAATCAAAATGACTCAGCTTTGATTGGTTCGGTAGCTGTATTTAAGAACACTGATGATTGTAAACCACCCAATTCTGGGCATGTTTGTATTATAAAAAAAGCACATGAAAAGTATTTGTGATTTAATGCTACAGCATATATAGAGTATATATATACTCCATGTACCGTATTTACTCGAGTAATAGCCACACTGTTTATGAAGAAAACTTGAGGGTCCGCTTTTCCGCGAGGCATGCGGCTTGCCAATCACCGCGATCGGCAGCATGATTCCAGCAGTTTACAGGACAGAGATAATGTCTTCGCGCGAAAATACCATCTGTGAAGATTGCATTTGTATGCAGAATCGTGTTCTTGATCTAGTTATTCGCTATGTCATTTTTGCGCAACACAATGATTGGCTGTATATGTGTTCTGCGGGAAAGCAGATGCAAGGGCCTTGTTCATAAATAGTGTGGCTATTACTCGAGTAAATACGGTAAAACCAAATACCTTCTTAGACTCCCAGTGCAATCCCAAGTGTCATAAGAAACACAGAAACTCACCAAAAATAGAAAAATAAAATTACAACTAGAACATCTACAGGAAAGAATACTGACAATAGATGTGTGCCAAGGTCAAAAAGACACCTGGTGTTTCAGTGCAGTAGCATTTCTTATCCCTCATCTAAGGCCCCTTCCTGGGTCCCGCATTCTCTTCTAAAAATAGAATTAAAAGAAAACTTAAAATTAAACAGAGAGCGAATAGAGAAAAACAAATACCTTCACCAGGTACAGCTCGATATTCTTACTTCATCTAATTCCATGCATGACAAGAGAAGTAGAAAATACTTCGTGATTAGCCCAGTAATGTAGTCTCCTCGGTTATCTCAGCTCCTGTGGGCAACTGTAAAGTGCCGCACCAAGAAAATTCTCCGTGAGCCAGGAAGAAGAGGAGAAACGCATCAGGCTCTAGAACCAATTCTATTTCTGTCACAAAGTTTAGAAGTTAGAACTTTTTTGCTAACTTCCTTTGAAAACATGAATAAAAATGTGACGATTCAAAGCTATGGGTTTTAAGTTCACCTCACAACGATAGCATACTATAACTAATACTTAAATTTCAACAACTACTAATCTTCGCACTATTATTTATACAACATAGCAAAGCACTTTCTCCTTACCGATTGGCCGCTAAGGCATGGAGAAACTGCAGTAACAAAGCCCATAATTCCAATTCTCATGCCAAGCAAAATATGAACACTTGGATCACTTTAATTAAGTTTTTCAAAGAAAACAGTTCACTGTCTTTAGGACAAATAAGGTATGCCCAAAGACATTTTCACCATGTATTGCAGTACACATTATTACAATTTTATCAGTCCTCTGTCCCCACAGTATTTTTTATCCTTTCTACTAAACTATTTTGCATGGCGCGCCTTGTTTAACTGAACTAATTCCGTTTTCAAAAGCACTTGGGCTTGGCCAAACAAATTCACTGACATAGCAGCACTTACTTGTATGCTTGATAGAGGCTCCAGATCGATACCGCACAATAAATGCTGTCTCGAACATACCCATGCTCTCGGTCACGTGAGAGACGTGGGAAAAGCCCTGTGGTAGGGCTTTGAAAGTTTAAGAGTTGCCGTTTAACTGAAACAAAAATTGCATAAAACCATCCGTATGGAATGCTCAAGCAAAAATATAAACATTCTGGAGATATTATTTCAAAAATTGAGGAACTGGTGCTACAACTTCGCACCGTTTTTAATCACAATTGAATTGCTGTCCCTTTATTCTACAGAAAAGTTACAAAAACTGACGCTTACCCTGTCCATAAAACTTGTCTAGGTGTTGCACTGTGTCAGTGTAGTTTGTGAGCTTTATGCTGTCGACATCAACAGCGTCACTCACGCTGTTCACCCGGCTTCGTCCAAATAGAGGAACAGCCATTGAGCGCTGCCTGAAAGTTGACACAAACATTAGACGACATGGCAAAGTATGAAAGGTCAGAAATTAGCCCATCCCAAAGAGCTTTCCATGCTTTACGCTTTTAGAACTTTCTGCAGGCAGGAAGAAAAGTTTAAAACAACACTGCACACGATAAAAAGATCAGAAAAAAGTGGAAGCGGGTGGACAAGCTCTTGAACAGTCTATATACTCTATATATGTCCTTTATGTCCCCATTTCAGCTTTCCATCAGTCAGCAATACGAGTTGAGATCTTTGGTATTTCGAGTAAAGTGAAAGATACCACAGCAAAAAAAAACCCGTAAGTGAACATGTTACTTTTGTTATAGAATGTTCCTTAAAGGGGCACTAAAGAGGATTCTGTGATCGGCTGTTCTTGGTCATACCTGATTCTACGGGCCCTAAGCATCCTAAAAATGGAAAAGTCACAATCACGCGACGCTGATTTTTCTATTAAAAACGTAGTGAAAGGTCGGGACACACCCCTTTCTGAGCGGATTTTTCTGCTCCCAAGAACAGATGATTGCAGAATCCTCTTTAGTGCCCTTCTGACACTCCTCCACTTTTCCAAGGCATATATTTACATTATGAGCACTAATGCTTATAGAGGGATAAAAACTTGCCCCAAAGTAACTATTGCCAAGATTTCCATTAAAGTTTTGTTTAGAATAGAAACATGATTTCAACCAGTGCATATGGCCACCACCGTGTCTGTGCTTGTAAGCAAATACGTGCAATTACAAGACCGTTGAAGCTATTTTCGCGTGCATGCTGCATACACTTGCACACGTAAAATATATAAATAGATGAGCAAATTCTTAGCTGCACAACAGTACTTAAAACGACTCGAATAAGCACCGACAAACTGACAGGTTGGCATGTTCTATGTGGCATTATGTAGAGCAATGGTTCTCAAATGGGGGTTTGCGGGCCCTTTGGGGTCTGCAAAGGCATTCTAGGGGTCCGCGAAACCCCGAATCAGCAATGCAGCCCGGCAATAAAATTCATATTTTTTTCCACATTGAGAAGAAATATTCCGATTTTTCGTGAGTTTTCTCACGTGCATGTCAATGAGAGAAGTTTACTTCACACTAACCCTTTGTTATATACCTTTATTAAATCATTATCATAATTAACCTACACACTTCCCTCTCCCACACCACGAACAAGGTCCTCCATCACTCCGCCGATCCACAAGGGGTTCGCGAAACACCAATGGCTGAGAACCACTGATGTAGAGCATTCTGTAATGTGGCTAGGAGAAACAATACAGAGTACTTCTTAAAAGAAAGTTTACAATGTAAAACAAACCTATCTTAAAAATTGGTAACTGGACAGAGCAAGTTGAACTTTCATTCCTATATAATACATCTTACCAATGCAATGGCTATGCTAAAATTTCACATACAAACTCACTCTGCATCAATGACAAAAATAAAGCAACTGGTATTTTGTATAGCAGAATGACTGCAGACAGAGGCAAATAAACATTCGCAATTTCCTATTGAGCATAAAAGAAATAAACACTAGGTTCTTCGAGACTGTTTAAAAGCTGACACTTGTGTATCGGCCCTTATACCCCATTTCAGTAGAACTTTATGAAAGATGGGACAACCCAATCAGAGTATTTGAGAGGCACGTAATAATGTAGCTTCCACCATTTATTAGGTAGTGTTGAACTGGATTATAGCAACTGCCATCCTACCATAGCAAACATAATTTCTGCTTTCCTCTTTTAACGTAGATTGAGTTGATGTTTGAAATTGTGGACTCCAAAATATGACAGGGCAATATGACACCCCAGAGACAAGCAAAGCAGTTCTCTCTTAGCTGTTGATTCGGTGAGTAACTGAAATAAACTATGGAAAAGGTCAAATGCCAGGAAAGAAACACATCAGGAGAAAAGATGACAAAGACAAAGCAGTCAAGCATCTCTTTGACCAAATGGCTATGCGCAAGAGGTATATTACACTGTTAGTATTCAGAGCAATTATTAATTTGTTCAAACAGGTGTAATAGAAAGTGATTAAATGTAGAGAAATGCAGTGTCAATGTCAGTTCTTCGTCAAGTAACTAATCAGTGGGGAGATATCGGAGGGCTTCTCCATTTAGTTCATAGCAATTTCTCTTTCTAGTACTGGAACATACCCTTAACTACTCTAGTGCACCCTTAAGTGTCGCACTTGAACATATCCCCAAGTATGCCAACCACAAATAAAGAATGAATACCTTGGGCTGAAGAGACTCATGGTTCACAACATCGGCGTCCGTATTAAGAGAATCTTGTAGCCGAAAGCCTGGTAAGCAGCACGCACATGCACGGGATAGGGACAGGGGACAGGAGCAGCGTGGAGAGCACCATAGTATCCCAGGAGCTTTGCAGAGATGCATCAAGCAGAGATGTCAAAAGTAGCATGCAAGAGGAGCGCACACATCTTTGACTAGCAGCAAAACAGCAGCCTTCGGCAAAGCACCAAAGAGCATTAGAAACGCAACATGCGATTTCTGGGTTTTGCGAAGGCTACGGATGAGTACTGAGGGTAAATAAACGCGAAATCATTCCGACTCCAGACATTAGCATCGGTAGGCTGGACAGATCACAGCTCGCGAAAGTCGGCGAATGTCGGACAGGTTATGGGTGCGCACACAAATCGCACCTCGTCAATCCGGTAATATCATGCTAGGAGATCAAATGCGAAAGCGATTTAGGTATAAAACAAACCTGTCAACGTCGGTTTCACGCAGGTGGTGGAAGGTTAACTTAGGGGTCGTGAGCGCCAGTTCAACAGAACTCACATACCTAGGGGGGGCGGGGGGGCCGATCTCTGCGCCTCCGTTTGAACAGAGCAGCTGAAACTAGGACCGCGTGAGCGAAGCGGCCGTCCTAACTACGGACAGTGGTTCGCAAAAAAACATGATCATCACAGTAGATGCGCGAAGGACGCGCGGATCGGAATTCACGATGTAGTCAGTCACAAGAGCGACCAACAAACAACAAAACCCATAAAATCCCATCCCATCACGACGTTGGCGCCCTCTTGAGTACACCACACGCCGCCACTCATCATCACCTAAAAATTGTTCCACGACCTATTTAGTGATGGTGAATGCCATGTGATCATAGGAATCGTACGTCGGTTGACTCGGTTGATTGATTAATATCAAGGTCGTCTGCGCTAAATAAGGAACCTTGAGAGACGAACTCGTCGTAGGGTGTAAAGTCGGAAGGACCACACCCGCTCTGTTTCTGCCAACCCGTACTGTGATGTGAGCGATGATACGGTGTGTGCACGGTGCGTCAAAGAATCTGGTAGGCTGATAAGTGCGTTATATCTAGACTCTGGTTCGAAGTTGTCATTACGAGCGCCGAGCCAACGTTGATCGCCCGGGGCGCGCGTTGGTCGATGTGCGGTTCGGGACTGTGAGGCCACGATGAACGTCGGACTAATCGATGCTGTGAAATCGACGGCGGGACAACTGGCGCACACGGTGAACTCGAAACTACTGGGTGGTCACATTCCGCAGGACTGGCTGCCGCAGAGTTCCAACTCCTGCACCCCCGATGGTAAGCAAACCAGCGAACTGAGAAACGCAAGCCGACAGTAATCTACTCGTGACCGTCACGTGAACAGCTGTTTTGTTGCTTCTCTTTTCTCTCTTTATGCTTCCTCGTAGACATGAAGTTAATCGACGCTGAACTGGGACTCTCTGAAGAGCACTTCTCAAGTCCAGAGGCAAGATGCTTTTTGTTGTTCTTTTTTTCTCCGAAAAATATTTCAGTTGCTTGCTGTTCGACGCGATTTCGCAACCTCGCCTAAATTTAGTAGTAGTGATTAAAGCGTCGCCTCTTTCTGTTTGTTTCTTTCTTTCTTTAGGGGCTCTTTGGGTTTTCTACCATCGAAGAACTAGAAACTGCAATAGAGAATTGCAAGGAGATGATACTTGAATCTGAGGAGAACTCTGACAGACGCAAGAAGTTGGTTATCAAACTAGTTCAGCTTAGGCAGAAACTTCAAGAGATTAAGGTGGTTACCCCTTTTATTTTCCTTGTTTTTCGACTGTTTCCTAATGATCTGACAGACATTTGGTGGCCCTCGTAATAAAGTGCTCGGTAAACAACAACAAAACAAATGCACCGTTTTGTCACTTCTCTAGGATGGCCCTCCAGACGAGCCCTCCACTGACGCTAAGATGGTCATGGAGCACCAGTTTGAACCACGGATGTACGAACGTGCTCAGCAGTACTGTGAGAAGTGCTGTGGCAGTATTTGGGGTGTACTCTACGGGTTTTATCAGTGCAAAAGTGAGTAGAATTTGCTATGTTTCCAAGAGCACAGATCTGATAATTCAACATTTTGAAAACATTTTTTCCGCCAGTACTGGCTATGTGAAGAGTGTATTTGCTTCATTTCTTTCCTTTGAAGTCTCAAGTAGACCACCTTGATTAATGGTGAGCTTGTGTACATGGTGTTACCACATTCTCATAAAGCAAGCTATGGTCTCTATTTAATGTCTTTTCTTTCTATTTGCTGAATGCACTCATACAGATATAGGATGAGCCTGCACTACATTACTACTGAAAGGAATAAAAGCAGTATTTTGTTTTATCCAGACTGTAACTTCAAGTGCCACAACAAGTGCCTCAATAGCATCACACGGAGATGTGCTTATGCAAGGGTACGCACAGTTCTATACTATTTATAGGATAAAATCAAGTATGTCCAAAAAAAAGGCTTCAATAAGAGAGAGAAAAAAAAAGTGAGTCCAGTAATTTTAATTTGTTCCAGGCGCATGAAAAGCCCGAATTCACACTTGACATCTGCCCAGAGCAGGGGCTATCGGCACAGGGCTACCGATGTGCAGAGTGCCGCCAGAATGTGTTTCCTCGTAAGCATTTTGCCTTGTAGTGCTTACCTATAGTAGCCCATTTTCTTTCTGCAAGCATTCCTGTTCTACATCTGCATTACCAGCATGCTGCAATATATACCGTGCTCTACATTTGCATTCTGCTTGCAATAACACTGTGTGCATAACGTTTATGCTGTTCTTTTAATACGGCTCTCACACAATGTATACAGGGTGTCTCCGAAAAAAAATGTACAGGGCTTTTTTCACATTTTCTGAAATTGTCAATGGGAAAACCGCATTTTCTGAGATTGTCAATGGGAAAACCGCATTTTCTGAAAATGTCTATGGGAAAAGGGTGGCAGATGGAGCTATCGAATACATGGGGCTCTAAGGCGCCAGAAACAGAAAACTGGCAAAAAATGGGCCCCATTTTCCCATTTAAATTTTCAGAAAATCACATAACTTTTGAATAAGATATTGGTTTGTTCTGAAACTTTGGCATCTAGTCCGGACCTCTAGCGCTACCTTTGCGCGGAGAATGGGCATTTGGTGACGCATAGTTTATTTTTGCGGTGGGAAAAACCTTGTAAATATTTTGGGGGGACACCCTGTATATTTGGCGTAGCTTTCTTAGGGCGCAAGCACAAACTACAGCTTTGGCATAACTATAAATATTATGAGTCCAGAAAACAGTAGACCAAGTGGTTTTTCAAGGGTGACTATAGGTTAGTTTATAATCCCTGCACTATGCAACATGAAATCTGGCTTGCTTGCCACTATTGGATTTTCATGGACTCTGCAGAACTAAATTTAAGGAAAAACGTAGTTCAAATATGGATTTTTTTGGACTCTGCAGAACTAAATTTAAGGAAAAACGTAGTTCAAATATGGATTTTTTTGTTGAAGCAAAAGTGGGCGATTCCGAATCTGATCAATTTGGCTAACGTTAGGCCTGCTTTCAACAACGCCGGAAACAAACATAGCCAATGCTATTTTAGAGATCCAACTTCATTGAATCAAGTTTTGTAACCTCATATGTATTTGTTAATAATTTTGCCAGAGAAAAGTTTTCGAAAACGCTAATGTGTTTTTTGAGGCAGTGCATGCCTCAAGCAACATATCTGTAAACTAAGCTAGAATCCCCATGGTCTACCGATACCATAGCAGTTCCACCTGTTGAGTTTGGTTCTGTAATGAATTAAAATGTTAGATTCAATATAGCACGTACCTCATTTGCAGCGCAGTGCCTAAAAGTACCTTAACCCTTGGTTAGTTTTCCTCGGGGAAATGAAGGATAGGGGAGCCTATTCCATGTATGGCTTGTGGCATCCTGTGACGTCCCGTGGCTGTCTCTGACTGCGTGCCCTGCGCCCCCCCCACCGTGTCCCCCCCTTTCCTTCTCTGCGGCCCTGTGGTGGCAGGCTTTGTGGTGCTGGGCGAAGCCGCCAGTGTGCTCATGCCCGCCGCCCTTCGCTCTCTGGCAGAGCAAGGGCAGCCCCGACGCTGCGAGTACACAGGGCGCTACTACTGCTCCCTGTGCCACTGGAACAGCCACACCATAGTGCCTGCCCGCGTGCTCCACAACTGGGACTTCGAGCCCCGTAAAGTGAGCATTTTTCTGCTCTCAATCCCAGCCTTCTTAGGTGAATCTGCACACACGCTAGTTGAGCCCAAAAAGGTTGCCACACATGTGACGGTGTGCCTTTTTCGTGGCAGGTGTGCCGTGCATCACTTCAGTTCCTCAGACTTATGGTGCGAAAACCGATCCTCAATCTGGGCGAGCTCAACCCCATGCTATTCACCTTTGTCGAAGATCTCGGCCATGTCAAGGTAAGCGCTGCCTTTTCGTGCTGGCATGGCATCAAGCTGAATGGCCCTTGAACCCTGCAGAAGCTGAGGGAAGACATCTTGCGCATGAAGCAGTACCTAACACTGTGTCACGCCGCCCAGCAGCAGAAGCTGCTGCTCCTGCTGCACAAAAGGCAGCATTTTGTCGAGGGCAGCCACATGTACTCGCTCCAGGATTTAATTGATCTCCACGATGGGAACCTCTTGGGCTACCTGACCCAAGTTCACCAGGTCTTCTTTGACCACATCACCAAGAGTTGCGAGGTAAGCATCGACTCCTGTTGCACCGTTTCAAAATGTGAGGCTACACCGCTGGTCTTTGGGCGATGCTAGTCTATGTTGTGCCTAAACTGCTTTTAAGGGGGGGGGGGGGGGGGTGCAACGATTTTAAGATTAAAAGAATTTGCATCTCGTCATTCTTACGTTGTTTATCCTGTTCCGGAGGAGAGAAAACGTCATTAAAAAATGTCGCTATTCCGCTGCATTATTGCAAAGCAAGTCTAGCTTTTTCCCCCCACCTGCAGCCGCAAGTGGCAGCCGAAGGGACTACGGCGAGAAGCTTTTGTGACCTCGCTCGGCTCTAAGCTGCAGTATAACGCCCGCTAATGTACGCAAAGAGAGGGAGAGGAAGCGTCCTCAGAGAGAGCACACGGGAACCTACACGGCACCCCGAATTGTCTCTAGGAGTGCGACCAGGTGCAACCCTGAAGGCCGAGTTGAGGGGTGCCAGAAATGCCAATATTTTTCTTTTTTTCTTTTTTTACACAATTAGGACATGCAGGCAAAAATCGATTTTCTGTTCTTTACCTCAGAAGTGTCAGAGGGCAACTTTTGACCGAAGTCCGGAAATTGTTGCACCCCCTTTTTTATACCGTGCGCAGCCTTCCGCATTATCCTTTTTTTTGGGGGGGGGGGGGGGGGGGCAAGGCAAGGGCAACAAACTTTGCGGCATTATTTATGGGTAGCTCTGGCCCACTTCTGGGCTCTATCAATTTCCTAATATTTTACGCCTCATTATTTTACCGTTAAAGTTCTGAAAATGCCAAAAGCAACCCTTTGTCAAAAGTGGCGCGTGGACATGATTCTGCAAATTGCTGCAAAACCTTCGGTATAGTTAAGACGAAAAGTGTTTGAGGGCTATTGGCGCGTAGGTGCCACCACGTTTCAACCCACACGAGAAAAAGCCAATACCTATCTCTTGTTCTATGACGAAGCTCGGCATTGGGTTTGCACAAATTCTGCAGAACTGGTGCACTACATTCAATGTTTACAGTGGGCGCCGATGTTCAGACTTTGCGCTTTATCCAATGCCAAAACTTCCATTGTAGGAGGGCAAATACCCGGTTCGAGGCCCTCGTTAGGCAGCTTGGTTGGGGGCACGGGCAATTTTTTCACTAAAGAACCTCGGGCCGCACTGCATTTTTAGGGATGCCGAGGAAAAGGTTACCTGTGCAAGTTTTGCGACAGTGAGGAGGTCATCTTTCCACTGGGAAACGACACATTCACGTGCCCAGAGTGCTCTTCTGTTTACCACAAGTGAGACAATTTGTCATGGCCTTGCATCTTTCATTTATTACTTGACATCCGAGACTGGGAACACTTGTTGCATTTCAGAGAGTGCAGAGAAAAGCGCCAGGATCCGTGTCCCTGGTGCGAATGGAAGACCCGCCATCATCAAACGAGCAGGGCACGAAGCGAAGATGTTGAGCTGACGAATCGAAACCATGCTTTGGCGTAATCTCAATTTGTACAGACAGCCACATATATGTATTTATTATAATGCACATGCTTTTAAAAACTGCTTCTCCCGCAGGACTCAATGTTGCCTAGATCGCCTGATTTTGCCGCAACAGATGTGTATACTAAACTGTTAAAACAACTTGCTTCTCCTGTGTATTCATTGAAATCACACCTTTTAGGGTTTACTTTGAGCACCTGCGTAGTTAGAGAAGATATGTTAATTATGTAATACATATATGCACTGGCTGGCGTGGCAGAAGCAATTATGTAGGCCAAAGTGCCTTGCACTGTAACTTATTTGCCCTTTCTGAACTTTCCCCCCCGGGAGGCACCCTTCTTTTTCTTGTTCTGTTCGTCCTTGCTCTCACTCTGTAAAAGACAAGTTACAAATTTTGTCAACAAACTGCAGACAAACTCCTATCTGCCGAGACTTCTCAAAATGCACAATTCAATTCACGAAGGACTGCTCAGTCAAATTATCAAAAAGAGGTAGAACCTGCCGATATTTATTCTCTATGCCAAAGTGAATGTCTTATTAATAGGACTTCAAAAGATTGCAATGAATGTAGAACAGCAGCAAACTTGGTATAAAGTAAATAAATCATCCATGGTAAAAAGAGAAAAAAGGGCATAATTTTGTGGTGAGAGAATAGACAATAATACTAGCCAGCAAGAAACACTGAGTAGGCAGAAAGCATACTTCTTGTCCAAAAGAGAGAAGCAAGGAGAGTGATGGCAATACATACAAATAAATTGATTGTTAGAAGTTCTAGTTTGGAACAAAGTTGATCACAAACAGTAACTAGGCCCAGGGAATTAGTTACATAGTGGTGACCTTCATTTGTACAAGTTCTGGGTTCCTAAAAACTGTTCCCCAGAGTACCCCGATGGGTTCCTCAAATTTCCTCAACCGTCCCTTCCTTCAACAAAGTGCTCCATTTTAAGCATTAGTTTAGCATGCCAGAGCCAAAAACTCCTGAGTATGTGCATTATTGTTTACAAGGTCTGTAAACCTCTGCACTACTTTATTGGATCAATGTTGACAGATCAGTGGGGCTCCTTGGCTGCCATTCGACGCAAATGTAGGTTCCTCTAGATTGAAAAGCTTGAGAACCTCCTCACTAGCAGAAAGTTTTGGCATACCATACTGTTCCTCACTAACAAAGTTTTGGCAAACTGTTCCTCACTAGCAGAAAGCTTTGGTACCACCTGTCCTGTTCCTCTTTGCATTCTCTCTTCTACGTAGAGGGAGCTCGATTAGACGCTTTCAGTAAACGTTTTGCTTACCTTCCTTTTGGCAGAGGGCCCCTCTGAGGGGACAACCTTAAAAAACGAGTCCAGCCGACCCTGAGTGGTCGTATTTCTACCCTTGAGTAGCTTCTTGGCTCCGTTTCGGATACGTTCCTCACTGCAATACAAAGTGGCAATGAGAGTTTCCTTGCATGCATTCTCCGACCTTGCTAGATGAAAAATGTTCCCAAAACCTTTTTGTACTAGAACATGACATACTGAGAAAATATAGTAAGGGTGCAGGCGAGCTGGTGAATATTAACCATGTTGAATTAACCTGAGACTGAGGTGAGAGGTCGTCCTGTCTATTTGTTGTCCCTTCTACGTTTTGATGTTTCACGTCTCTCTTCTACCCCAGACTTGGGTTAATTCAACATGGTTAATGACATACTGACACAATGGTGGAACGCATACCTGAATCCATTCTCTTCGCAGAGGAACTTCACAAGGCCATCTTCATCAGGATCAGTCCACTTCAACTAGAGTGTACACAAGCATAGATACATCATTCCTTTCGGCAAAAGCCAAAACCTGCCACTATAATGATGGGCTAAATTGGCAGAGCTTGAGGCCAAACAAAATTTGGCATTAGCCACTTTTGGAAGAAACACTGGCGAATGTTTGAGCATAGAGTGAGATGATGGCCATATACTGGAGTGATTGCTGTACCATCTCCAAATGAGACTAGGCAACAATTTGTGCTTCAAAAGTATACAGTGACTGCAGTGCAACAGAAGGCATATTTCAAAACAATCAGCACAGAAGAGGACAAGTAGAGAATACAGCGGCATGCTGTGACAAAAACCTTAGCTGTCGCTATTAAAGGAGCAAGACAAAAAAGCATGGTAAATAGACATACTCTTTATTTCCACGATACTGCCTTGTTAGCGTTACGAAATGGTTAGGGAAACTAACATGCCTCAGACTCTTGCAGGTCTCTTTCTCAATGTTGTATTGCGTATGACCTACCTTGCCTAGAAGAATTGCACTGGCAGTCTCAAGCACACAAAAATCCACAATACAAATGAAAAAAAGAAGGGGCTATGGGATTATGGTGATGGAAGTTTCAATGCATGGTACGGAAGGATACTCGCATAATTGGATACCGATTTCTCCGGAAAAGTAAGAATTCAAAAAGTGATAATTCAGAATGCCGATAATCTGACAAACAGAAAGCAAATTGAGCTACACTGTTAGCGGAGCCAGTGTGAAAGAAGCGAGTAACAAGTGCATGGGTATGAGGAGTCTCAGAACAAACCAGCAGAATGGTAATCTTTTGGGTGCGACTTTTTTTTTCTTTTTTTTTTCTTCCCAGGTGTGCAGCAAGCATAAATGAAATATTGGAGTATTCCATAGCAACCTCCTCTTTTTCATGAACATATAAAATGTAAAACTTTTGTTAAAATCACATATAGCAGTGGGTCTCATTTTTCTTTGTGAATATGTTTCAACCCCATGGCCATGGAAAGGGGATGGCAACCCAGACCACTTCGACGGGGGGGCCAGCTAGGGTGTTTATACCTAAACCGCACAAACTGGCAAGGAGGGGTGCTCAGACGGAGAGGAGGACGACTGTTTGCCGAGCGTCTGCTGCCGTGGAGCCTTGACCTCCCCCGCACCCCCGGCGTGGCCCAGGACTAAGGAGGACACTCAGCTTCCAGACACCAATGGACGACGTTTGCGTAGGAGACCTTTCAATGTACTCTTGAAGCCTCCCTCGTCAAGACCATGGGCTAGTGCACAGCAGGGAGCCCAACCTAATTTGGCTACCACCTGGTGATTAAGACCAGGGGCTTCGCTTCCCAAGTGTGACACCACAGAATGAAACCTTGCCACAGTAAGATGCTATGGCTGGGGAAAATATGGCCATTTAGCCAAAGACTGTCCAGTAAACTTTGTAGTAAATCCAAATAACGATCCAGCACAATTCCTAAAGGCAGCCACCATCAATGGGGCTCAACAGGTGTCTGCCACGATCGACCCGGGTAGCTCGGAATGTATCATGCGACACGTTGCAGCGGTCAAGTGCGAACTGCAGATCACCTGCTCATCAAAGGGACTGTACAGCTTCGGAAGCACCGACTAGTAAGCCGTGAAATCAATTGGATCTGCTTTCATCGACATCTCCATCGACAACATTGTGTGTAAGGGGGTGGATGTCCTCACTGTGTCGGACAACATACAATCTGTAGACATCCTTGTTGGGTGGACCTGGACGAAGCAGCCCCACATCGCATATCTATGCATTGGCACTTCGAGGTCTCCCCGCCACCAATAAAAGACAGCTTAACAGTGAGTGAGACGACTAGTTCTTAAGAACAGTGTGTGCTGGGTCACCCTGCAGTCCAAAAATTGCAATATCATTCTTCGTGACGAGCTTGGAGGAGAGAGTCAGCACCAATTGACAGATAGAAAGGTGAATGTCCCAATCGTCAACGACTCATCCACTGGCGGACATCTTGGATGATGAGGACGAGCTGCATGTGGCACGCATCGATACTCATCGAAAGGAACCGATCTTGGAGAGTCAAGTTAACTTTGATCAGGACACTGCAGAAGCAGAGGTGTCGGCGCTGATGGTAGTGCTCAATCATTACAGACTGTTTTCCCCTTATATTAGGGAGCTTGGATGTACCCATTTGACTGAGATGACTGTCACTGAAACACCAGCAGAGTCCCTGTGCATTGCAAGCCCTATTACACTGACTTGGCAGAGCGAACCGCCATTCGAGAAATTGTTACGGAGTGGAAGGACTGCGGGTTGGTGACGGAGACGACCTCACCATATGGTAGTCCTGTTCTCTCAATGAAAAAGAAGAATGGAGAGGAGAGGTTGGTTCTGGACTTCCGGAGGCTCAACAGTCAGACAATCCCAAACAGGTTTCCAATGCCTGACATCGGACCAACTTGTGCAGCTCACAGGCGCGAAGTTGTTCTGCATTCTGGACTGTGCTAACGGGCATCTCCAAATCCCCCTGAGCGAGGATTTCAAGGCTAAGACAGCATTTATAATTATTTTGGCCTTTAGAAATTGTGAACAGTTAAAAAACCACACAAACTGGCAAAGAGGAGTGCCCAGACAGGCGAAGAAGACAATCATTTGCTGAGCGTCTGGTGCCGTGAAACTTTGACCTCCCCCACGCCCCCGGCGTCGCCCGGGACAGTGAAAGAGGACACTCAGCTTCCAGGCACCGATGGAAGACGTTCACGTCGGAAACCTTTTAATGTACTCGTTGTCATTGTTTTAACCTTATCTAACCGTAATAAAGTCTTTCTTTTATTCGTTACTTTAAAAACGCAGACTTCTTGAATCAAGTTAACAATTTGTGTAGCAATCCTCTCCATGCCAATGGGCTGCCTTCTCTGAGGAATGTGTAAAAGAAATCAACGACATTTCACCTGGATTTCACTGGCAGGTGTCACTTCAGGCTCCAGAAACAGCTGACGAGCTTCCTTGAAGGGCCAGTCTTCGGGAATGGTATATTTCTGCACGATAAGGCAAATTTGATGGTGTGCTGGCACCTCGCAGCTGACAGAACCACTTTAAAGAGCAATACACTCTGCCACTGTGTCGCAACATGCCTTTGTGTCAATGCTGCTGATGATTTTCTCGATGCTCTTGTGCTGTTTGATCAGCTCGATGGCCCGCTTGGGTCCAATTCCTCTGATGCTCTCGCAGTAGTCGCAGCCAAGGAGGATGCACAGGTCGATAAACTATGTAGCATAGAAATTGTCACCAGAATGAGGTCTGAAGAAGGGTAACTGGTGGTGCTGATACAATATCAATAAGGGAATTCTGAAAGGGCACATCAGGCAGTCACGTGGCATAATGGCGGATATACTGGGTGTATCAAGAAGTGGCCAGGCTCTTTAAATCGACCGCAAAATTTGGTTTCTGAACCGATTGTGCAACGACTTCGTGCAGCGTTGCGCACAGATGGTGCTTTTTTTTTTTGTAAAATTTGCAAAGAATTGGGGGGGGGGGGGGGACTTACCTGAGGAAAAAGTAAAGAAAGAAAAAAGCTTAGCTCCCATGGAAATGTGGCAAAGCCAAAGGTCTTCAAACAATACGGCGCCATTTCGCATGGGATACGAGATGGCACAAGCGGTCACGATGCCAACTGCGCCAATGAACGAGCAGACGACGCCGAAAGCCGGCGTCTTTAGCAGACAATCTTTTTGACTCAAAAGCGGAGCACGTTCCGCAGGCGGCGACAGTCGCAGAAACAAACAGGCGCGGTAACAACAAGGAACTGCAAACCAGACTACATCGGTACCTCGAAAAAAAGTCAAAATATCCCGACAAACCATTTTTCTAATCAATTATGCATCCATTCAACATGTTTTATCAGTAAGGATGATAAAATAATGCATTGGTAACTGATATCAGAAAAGCTCGCGCCGCTTTTGAGTCGAAAAGAATGTCTGCTAAAGACGCCGGCTCTCGGCGCCGTATGCTCGTTCGTTGGCGCAGTTGGCATCGCGACCGATTGCGCCATCTCTTGTCTCCCGTGCGAAACGGCGCCGTATTGTTTGAAGACCTTTGGCTTTGCCGTATTTCCATAGGAGTTAAGCCTTTTTCTTTCTTTACTTTTTCTTCAGGTGTAAGTTCGCTCTTTGCAGATTTTACAAAAAAAAAATGCACCATCTGTGGGCAACGCTGCACAAAGTCGTAGCGCGATAGGTTAAGAAACCGAATTTTGCAGTCGATTTAAAGAGCCTGGCCACTCCTTGATACACCCAGTATTATCGTGTCGGCCATTCCACTGCATTCAATTTTTTTGGTGCAAGTGGTCATATGGCAAGAACTTGGGTGAGGTGCTTCCCACTCAGCGACAGTGGTGTACATACTGTCATCAAGTAGGGAGCATGCCAACCAAGCTATTGCCATGTGTGTCCATTGAGCTTCATAAAATTTGGTTTAGAAATAAAAATCAAGAATGCCGCATTTGAAGCAGGTGACACTACTAGCAGATACAGTACTTGGTCGCAGTTACTTTCGCATCGAGGCTGAATAAGAATGCTACTGTAAAAATATCTTTTTCCCTCATGGAAGCCAGGCAATGCCTAGAGCCCTCTAAGCTAATATTGTTCTATTCTCTGGTGGAAGTGCTTGCGGTGTACACGGTGCCAAATCTTTATTCTATGGGATACATATTTTCTTGGCATTTTCACGTGACTGCAAGAGCAAGTCAAGATGGGCTGCATTAATGCCACCATAGAGTATGTTTGGGTCACCCAAGAATCAACAAGTGTGTTTTGTCCTTAGACACTTAATTCTAATCTCCATTAAAAACGGTGCTCCAGTGTATGGTGGGCAGACTATAAATTCTTTCGTCAGAGCAAGCATTCAGCAGAGGGGAAGAAATGCATTGCAGGGCACTGCACACACAGCCATACAGTGGTGCATGACTAAGCAGGTTTGTTATTTCTCAGCTGCAAAGACAAACACATTTCCTATTGTTGCTGTTGTCACACTGGGGGAAAACGAAGGGATTGTAAAGCTGCATCAGACCCTTTTCAACGATTGCCTCCAACCAGCACTTACAATGGGCCTTTACCGCAAATGTTGGGCACCATCTATCGGCAAGCCGGAGAAACGTTTTTGATGGCCTGCCTTGCTTCCGGTTCTGCCCGCTCCAAGCTATGTTGGCTGTCCAAACGCAGTCGGTAAACGTGCTCAGCGTTTGCTTTTCCTCTACCCAACGCAATCGACAAGTACTTTTTTTTTTTTCAATGAATGCGTTGATTACGGACAGCTTCGTCCATTTCTAGATTTTTTACGAATGACTGACAGCACAGATGAAGCTCTCTCTCTTCGACAAATGAGAAAGTACAAATGGTTACATTAAACAAGAATTCATGTTATTTGTAGTATTGTCAGTAAATTCCAAAAATATTCGAGAACAATTTACAGATAAGGTAAGCTTTTTTGTTTTTTTTTTTAACTGCGAGCTATTCGTTTAACCTGTTCGAAAATTTTAATTGATAAAGATGTATTCTCATAAATGTCAAGGCTCACCCTAAAATCACCCAAAAAACTCGGCGCCTCCTCGTACCAATCTCAAATTTTCATCAAAGGTGTATTTAAGTGGTAGATTTCACCTTATAAAATTTCAAAGCATAGCTTCATTTCTGTGAAAAAAAGAGACAAACAAGCTTGCCCGGATCAACGGTGGACGCGTTCAAGAACCACTAATTCGTTTGCGAGCGCTGCTGACCCTGGCAAGTTTGTTGGTCTCGTTTTTTTACTGGAAAGAGTAACACTTTGAAATTTCACAAGGTCAAATTCACGAATAAAATATATTTTTAATAAACATCTAAGATGTATACATGCAGCCGCCGATTTCTGAGCGAGCCTCAGAAATCATGTCGCCCCACTTTAGGCTATAGCTGTGTGTGACTGTAGGTCCTGAAAAAAAAAAAAAAAATCGGTCACACTTGTCTATTTTGAGTCTTGCGCCTGTAGACACTGGTGGAAACTTTTTTTTTTTTTACTTGATACATACATGAAGACAACACATCAAGTCGATTGCTTCCTCTTTCTTATTTAACCACAAGACCAGCAGATGCGGTCGTGGTCACAAAACAGCTGCTCCCATTTCTCTTTCCGGGTATGCACATAACAAACTGCACAGCGTAGACACTTTACTTCACTGCTTTATAAATATTTGGAAACTGTGGGCGATTCCAATGTTTACAGCAGCCAAAAAGCAGACGGGCTGCGCAGCAATGCGAGACCGCCACCTTAGCAAGCAAAAACGTGCTCCAGTCAAATGCACCATCACAGAAACGCGAACTCCCGAGGCACTCGCTCTGCGTAGCACATAAGCAAGACGACATCCTACCTAATCAATCTGCCGACTTGTATTTCTACATCAATAACAAATAAAGGAATAAAAACTTGAACCTTCCTCAAAGTGGCAACTGCAAACACGGGGGGGGTGCTTTAAAGGCAGCTTTTAGGAGCCATTCACATTGTTTCGCCAGATCGCCGGAATCCACAGCTGCCGCTTCATCGGGTGCAGGCTAGTGGAAAGAAACCTAAAGAAACATAAACGGCGACAACGCTTGCTCTCGTCGCTGCAGCCGACAACGGAACAGCGTTGGGGCACATCGGAGAACTTCGAAACGCGCGACCACCGCTGCCTCCCGCAGTCCCGAGTCGGACGCACCACGCCACCAAAAATGGCGGACTCCTGTATGCTGCTGCTGCGCATGCGCCATGGAAACTCCCGAAAAGGCCCATTGTTTATCACTTTAGTACTCCAGTGTCAATGTGACTGCAGCACCGGGCATGTTAGTTGCTCCCCTCTGGCTGTCTGCTCCCACTAAACAACTCACAGTTTGCCAATCGACTCTACACGCAATCCCGACTTTGTTTCCCATTCCGTCAGTACTCTCCCATTGTTTATGCCCGAGACGGCAATACCTGGCAGACTGGGTACCCTGCCTGCATTCACATGTGTAATGTGACCATGGCATCAAGCTGTCCTCTGCCAAACATCCGCTAGATGTCCCTTGGTTCTGGAATTCCCGCACTGATAGTGTCGTCTGCAGTCATGCAAGTGTGTTGGATGCACATACCTCATCACGATTCAGCTCCAGACCACTCAGGACTCTCTCAAGATTGAACTCTTTGATGGGCATTTTCCTAAAATGCAAAAACGAAAAAAAAAGTCAGTCCCAAGTTTTTCTAACGACTCTCCTTATAACTTTACAAGGTGGGAAAAGTTAGGTGTAGCCCCCTCTCCACCCCATAGAAGCTGCCACAACACATGTTTTAATCTTGTGCCATATGTGAGTTATAGAAGATAGCCGTATCTGTTTCCAACCTTGCTTCACTGTAGGTCATGTGGCGAAGAAGGACATTGGTTCCAAAAGTGAGTCCATCCATGTCCTCGGTGGCGGTTCCGTAAACTTTGCCGCCTTTCACGAGTTCAGCACATTGCGCCTCAGCTTCGCACGGAGCCTACAAACATACAAGATGGCCCCATCATTCTTTTCAATTACCTATATTGCTCAGTGCAATGTACACTACAGCTCTCTCTGCAGCGAGTGAAAGTACATATAAATCTAAGAGGTCCAAAGGGTGAGCATACTTCAATATAGGGCACTCCCATGAGGCCCAAGAGGCGCTTGCAGTCTTCGCCATGCTGCCGTGTCACCTTGACCAAACGCTTGCTGAATTTGTTGATGTCTTCTTGGTTCCCTGAGAAAGAGCACCGCAAATTCAACTTCACAAAGTTACACAGGTGTCGCACATGGTTGCATGATTTGCCTGTTTATGCACTGGTCCTTGGCAGTGCCATCGTGTGCTGGCATTGTTTAGCAATTGGTTCTTAAAGGGAATTGCAGTGTGCAGGAAAAAAAAAAGCTGCTAAGATATAATTGAGGGTTCGGCGAGCCAACAATGAATGTGGACATGGCGGAGACAAACCATGTTGGTTGTGGCCCCCAGAGACCCACCATTAAGCCACTGCACCTCGAGAACCAGAAGCTTGTACAGTAACAATCATTGACTGGAGCACATGTTTTTTCTGCACGACACTATGTGGCGGCAGCCGACGTAGCCAATTGGGATCAAGATCCCGCATGTTATCCAATGTGGTTCCCGAGCTCGGGAACTACCGTGCTCTGGAATGGAACTATTGCCACGTGACCAGCTGCCACCAGGCTAGCACACCGCAGAGAAAAACATGCTGCAGCATGTTCTATTATTTTAACCGTGACTGCAACTACAAGAGCTGCAATTTGGACCAATTAAGACTTTTTTTTAAAAGGTTACATGTCTAAAGAGAACTTTCTCAGTGAACAGCCCATCCGAATAAGGCAAAAAGTATATATAGGGTGACTCCAGAGGACCTTACACTGTAAAACGAGCCGGAAAAATAGACGCCAGCATATAAAGCTCAAGCTTTCACCGAATCGAAGTGGTGCATCTTAGCTGACGAAATTTTAAAAATGCACCACCTCAAATCATATTTGGTGGAAGTTTGAGATTTCTATGTGCAGGCGTTGATTTTTCCAGCTCGCCTTACAGTGGAAGGTCGACTGGAGCCACTCATAAACCACCCAATGTTTCAGACATGGCGACCTGAACCAAATCTAAATCCGACTCCGAAATTTTCTTCATGCAGATTAGCTTTCGCTGTCCCAGATGTTTATTTACACCAACATGCGCAGCACATTGTATAAAGAAAACTAGTGGTACAAAGCTTGACTTGCAATTTCAATCACATTAAACATGGCTGTGCTAAACTCCTTCCTATTTAGCTTTTTAACTTCAATCATACCGTTTAAACCTATAGTATGTTTTAGTGCCAAATTCCCTCTAAACTTTGTCACCTAATGCACAAATGGATTCCATTCTTTTTTATTTTACAAACTCCTTCATATTTCGTAAAGTAGGTAACTAGCATTTGTCACTGGAAGCATGCAATAGATATCCACAAGAAACAAAAACTAACCAGCCTCTTCTGCCTTCTCAAGCTCCTTTTCAGCCACCTCACGTCTTTCTTGGCGTTTCTCGAGCTAAAAGAAAAAGTGCCAAATTGTTTTGGAAACAGCAACAAAAAAGTAAAGTCGGTAAAAGTGATACGAGCATTAACGATCAGCATAAGTCCCTCTTCTCTACGCACCTCAGACGACTTCATGCCTGGTGGTTTCCCATCAAAGACGTACACTGGCTTGATACCGTTCTCAATCATCCGTATCGTCCTGTAGAAGAACCCTACAAGGTGGCTGCCAAGAAAAGTATGTGCAAATGTTAATAGATGCTGCCTTAATTTGTTTTGGGTACAGATTCGTCTGGCGTCGCACTCCGCTCGACGAGGAGGAGGAAAAAAAAAGGGGGTGGAGGATTGGAGGAGAAAAGAAGGAAGGAGAGGAGAAATATAGAGAGAGGAGGAGGAGGGGGTGAGGAGCAAACTGGGAAGAACCCCCAAAAAGTTTGTCGTAAAAAACAAGAAAAAAAAAGAAGGGACTTGGGGTTGGGGACGTTCCCCTGCAATATTTTGTGGGTACTTTGTTGTGGGGAAGCAGACGATTTAAAATGCGATATCTTCTTTTTACGTGCTTAAGGCGTTCTAGCAGATTTAGAAACTCTGTTTCTGGATGTTTGACTAAACGCTGGTCGCTTATTGTTACAGATAATTAATTGGGTTAATATTTTTAATACCCTCGGCTGAGCGCACCGTGGCGATTTGTAAGTGGAATGGAAACAGCTCCTTTCAAATAAGTTTTGGAAACAAATTTTTACCCAGGATTGACCCAGTCCCGATAAAAAAACTATAATTCACGTAGTGAAATACAATAACAAAACAACCCAAATTCCAAATGCTAAGAAAGCAGCTATACGAAATTAAAACCATTAATCGAGTATGTTCTTGAAAACCTGAGAAATAGCCCCAATCTAAAGAGCGCACTTATTGCTCCTGTGCTTCTGAAAGTCGTCGTCAGCTTCCCCACAAAAAATCGCCGGGGGACCTTCCCCGCCAGAACTCCCCTTCTTTTTTTCCCCCAACAAATTTTCCGAGGGCCCTCCCCCAGTTTCCTCCTCACCCCCTTCTCCTTTCCTTCTCCTCCTCGAGCATAGTATGACGCCAGACGAGTCTGTACCCAGTTTTGTTCGTACTGATCAATTAGCCTAAAGGCCATTTTACGGCATGTGCCGCCGCTGTGGGGAGCGGATCCGCTTCCGCGGCAGCAGATTTCTTCTCAGGTGTAAACGTACCATTAGAGTGTCACAAGCAGTGGCGTAGGCAGAGGGGGGCTTTGGGGGTCCAAACCCCCCCTCAGCCACGGGGCCCGCTCGCTCCCCTGCTCACACAGTCGGTTTCGCACGAGGCACGGAGCAACGGGGGAGCGCGGACCATCCCCAACTTATATGCCTCCGGGAAAATTGTTTGTGGGGTAGAAAATGCTCAAATTAATAAAATATGCAATATTGCTTAATTCATGTTTATTCGGTTGGATGTGGAACTTGAAGTGAATGGATATTTCGAAACATTTGTGGGGTGAAGGATGGCAATTTCAAGGCAAAGTATAACAAACTATTTTCACTGAAATACACTGTTCAATCAAACCAAAGTGAACATAATAAACCGAACACACAGTGATAATATAAAACAATGACAGTGATTTAAGGAATAAATGAATTGTAAAATACAATTGCACTGTAAGCAACGGGTGCCGTTGTGCTCACGCACACCTTGTGTGATCAGAATTATGCGCTTTCGACTAGAAATCGCCGCAAATAAAAAGGTAACTTTGATTAATTATGTTAGAAAGCAATTTACAGCTTCTCTTTATCATCTCATTTACGCCAAGCGCCTGCAGATTAAAATGCAGCCGCCTTTGTTCACGGGAAAAAATATCCAGGACGTCCTCCGCTTGAACTTTAATGTCGCGGTGAACATTTAAAAGTGCTAGACCGAGCAGTTGCTCATCCGAAGTGGACGCTCTCAGGTATGTTTTCAACCGCCGTAGTGAAGAGAATGAGCGCTCAGCTTCCGCCGTTGTTGAGCGCGGAGTCGCTAGGATCTTGAGACGATAGACGGTTAGGAATAGGAACTCCAAACAGAGGGCGACCGCCCGTATATCGCAGACGTGACGGGCGCTTCACGTTTCTCTTTCTTGCATTTGACGCCTAAAATTCCCTATTTTTGGCGAAGTTTTCCTTGCTTTGCGAAAATCGCCGCTCACGGATGCGACGAAGTCCGTCTTGCTTTTTGCTTGGTATGTCAAGGTGGCGACCGATGCAATTCCTTATTATATGAATCTGACTAATAATGCAAATTAAATGCAAAGGTGCAAGCGAGCTGGACAAGAATGACGAAAATAATCCCTGGAGAAGGGGAACAAGAGGGACAAAGGACAAACACAAATCTCCAAACACAGCTAGGCGACTGGTGCGCGACCAAAAAAATCAACCTGGTCCGGGTATCGAACCCGGGACCTCTCAATTTCCAGTAGAGCGCTCTACCAACTGAGCTAACCAGGGGTTAGACGTCAGTAGAGCAAACGGGTTTTATCAGCTGCCACCAGTTTAACACCAACAAGGGTGAAGCTTGCAATTTAAAGTTATGATTAAAATGCAATTAAATGTAAAGGTGCAAGCGAGCTGGAAAATAATCATTGGAGAAGGGCAACAAGAGGGACAAAAGACAAACACAAATCTCCAAACACAGCTAGGTGACTGGTGCGCAACGAGTCACCTTTGTCCCTCTTCTCCAGGGATTATTTTCGTCATTCTTGTCCACCTCGCTTGCAACTTTGCATTTAATTGCATCAGGCCCGTAACCAGGGGGAAGGCCCATGGGGCCCGGCCCCCCCCCCCCCCCCCCCCCCCCCGAAATCTTGCATTTTGCATGGGTCCTCCTCTCCCCCCTCCTCCTCCTCATACAGCATTTTGTCATGGGTGCCCCCCCCCCCCCGGAAACAAAATCCCGGCTACGTGCCTGAATTGCATTATTAATCATAAACTTAAATTGCAAGCTTCACCCTTGTTGGTGTTAAAACTGGTGGCAGCTGATAAAACCCGTTTGGTAGAGCGCTCCACTGGGAATGGTGGGGTCCCGGGTTCGATGCCCAGACCAGGCCAATTTTTTTGGTCGCGCACCAGTCACCTAGTTGTGTTTGGAGATTTGCGTTTGTCCTTTGTCCCTTTTTTTCCCCTTCTCCAGGGATTATTTTCGTCATAGATGAATCTCTTCATTGCACGGAACATCAGAGAATCCGAAGAGACAAGCCTTCATGGTCTCACTACGCATAGGCGCAAGGGTAGTCAAGTTCCTTTCCACGTTCTGCGTGTAGTTTCTGTGTGGTGCGTCATGTCATTTCTCCGAGTGACGGAACGACGAGTTCAGACTGATGACTTCTTACCCCGAGAATATGCTGCTACTGCCTTCGGACCACGCTGCAAGATAAAGCGGCCCTAGCAAAGATAAAACTCTTTCCTTCGGCATTTGGTTCTGTAGCACGAATTTGTTAAACCTTTAATAGACAATAGATTTTGGTTTTGTGATTGCTCAGAATTATCTTCACCCCAAATATGGGCCCCTAGAGTTTTTGCGTGGTCGGTTGCTCCAATTTTTCAATGCCATTTTTTTTTTTTTTTGCTGATAGCAATTTTTGTGTTTTGTTTGGCCTTCACGCGTTGGTAATGCAGTGCTACCTCAAAAAGCGGAGGGAGTTGTGTGCTGTAAGGAAGCTTTTAAAGTTGGTGGGCCGGAAGTACGACGACGGTAGAACAGTGAGCCACCACGCCCGTATTCCTGTAAATGAAGCCTGCTCTGTTTTTAAAAATGACAATGCAGCTTTACCCGTTTCATCTTCAGCGCCTCCCTAATTTTTGCCCGAGCGTCCGAGTCGGCGAGCTCACCCTGCGTCATTGAGGGGGGGATGCCATTGAACCCCTCCCGAAATAAAATCCTGGCTACGCCACTGGTCACAAGAGTGTCTCTCAGCACACTACCTGTGCAATACATGGCTTGCATTGACGTCACGTCAGCCGCCATTGCTCCGTACCATGTTCCTGTGCCAGTACCTTTCGCAGCATACATTTGGCATCATCAAACCGGTTCTTCTCCACAAGATTTGATTTTGCGAGGTGTATGCTGCAGAAGGTAAGGGCTCCGGAGCATGGTACGGAGCAATGGCGGCTGTTACGGTGCCATATGACGTCACGTGCAAGGCATGTATAGCCACTGTACAACACAATACTAGCTAAGAAGAATCTGACATAGTGGCTGCTAATAAAAATACACAGTGATGTTGACACACTCTTAAAGGGATACTACAACGAAATTTCGGCGCTCACTTTTTGGTCCATATGTGTTCAAAAGAGGAGCATCACATCGAACGTACCAATATCTTGTTAAAAAAGTCACAAAAAGGTATTTTAAGACGAATTAAACGATTAGCAAAGAGCACCTGGTGGATGTCGCTAACGCCTCGTTTGTAATGCTCATCTAGGAACCTTGACAGCTAGTGACGGAGGTTGTCTCATCTCCGGCCACGACGAGAGAAGAGGGGAAGAAAAATGCCCCTCTTTCCGAGAATCCCGTTTGTGTGTCCCAGAAGTAGCTATTGTCCCCCTACAAGATTATAAAAGATTAACCCGTCACTCAAAATTCGTACAAAAGCAGCCGGTTCGGTGGCTGGAACGACTAGGCCATCCTCTAGACGTCAGCCTCGCCGTAGCTTTGTTCGTCTTGAGACGACCTACGTCACGATTGCGTTGGATGTCACGTGGTCTCCGCTGGGCCTTCTCCGAGCGCTTGACAGAGTGGGCCGTTTATAACGAAAAATACAGCCACTAGGCTCAAAATACAAACGTGCGATTGTCATTTACGGATATTGTGGATCATATTCAACCTATTTTTGAACACGACGGGAATATTTCAAATATTGTTGAAGTATCCCTTTAAGTCCAGTCATTCCCTCGTGTACCCATTGGTCAGGTAAAATATGAATGCACTCAAAATATAAACAAAACAAGACCAGTCTCTTTTTGATACTATAAATAATGCTTTCTTAAGCCACCCAAGACTGGATGGAGAACCTCCTACCAAAGTCATCAAATATAATCCCAACTGTCAAACCTCCCATATAAAAAAAAAAAAAAAAATGCAAATTTTTAGCAAAGTTTAAATTAAGCACAAACAACTATCTGACACGATACATGGAAATGACAGCTCAAAGCACGTTTGCCTCACTGCAGATTGAATATAACATAATTCATTAGAAAACAATCCGCAATGAACAATACAGAAGGCACGTTTAAACCACGTCGTACAGGCCCAGTACAGTCGAGACCATGCGCACGTGTCGACAGTCTGTACCTTGTTGTTTCGCCATCACTGTTGGTGAGCATGTTGTTCTCTTGCCGCACTGCTATCAGGAACTGATACAAGCACATTGATGCATCGATGGCAATTTTCCTCCCTAGGTAGGAAAGGGCGATGCATCAGACACGAAGCGGCAGCAATGCCGCTGAAAGTTAAAGGCATTTTCGGCCATCACTTACCGAAGTAGCTCTTAATGTCCCCTTCCTTAATAGCGGAAGGAGCATTATCTGCGATCACTTTAGAGAGACCAGTAATTCCCATTGTGACGACTGGCAAACGCTACGGAAAACTTCACGGCGAGCGCGGCGAGTCTTTAGGCCACTTCTCGCGCCAAATCTGATTGACATGGATGGATGGATGAATCATAATGGATATGCCCTTTGTAACGGGTGGTAGCTTGCGCTACCTAGCCTGAAGAAATGTTTTCCTCTCCTGTTTAAATACAAATTTCTTTCTCTCTACATCCCTACACCGGGCCAGGTGGATGAACCACCAGGCTGACCTTTGGGGGATCGGGAAAATACAAAATAAAAAGGAAAACGCACCCCCCGCCGTCTCCCCCTCCTTTCCAAAACCCAGACCCACTGAGTGACAGGGTTGAGACTTTGGGCCAGAGCCACGCGGGAGGGAATCCCAATTTTCCTCTGTCCTCCCTGTCTCCAGTTGTCCTAGTTGCTTTTACCAATTTCAGTTTTCCCTAGTCTCCTTCCACCACTGCTCTAACCTCCCTTTCGCTCCGCCGAAACCCAGGGTATGCTAATTTTGCATATGTCGCATGTGTCACATATGTCACAACGAAGACTATAAGTCTTCGTTATTAGTACTTCGGTTCTGGCCTCAAACAGCAAAAACCTCCCCCGAGAATTATCAAAGTTTCTTTACTCATTTCCTGTTTGCCTCCGTTGCTACACCGGAAAAGCGGGAGGAATCATGTTTCTTCTTCGTTTTAGACTTCGGCTAGGTGACGCAAGCTACAGCCTGTTACAAAGGGTATAACCAGTAACATTTATTCATTCATAAATTTCATGCTGTCCATGTTGTTATTTAGTAACATTTTGTCTACTATTTTTGCCATTTTTGCAGTGTATCTGCTTGTCTCTTCAAAAAAAATTTAAATAAGTTGATCAGTTTGTGGTGCAATGTTATTTTTTCTGCCTAAAAGTTTATCATGACCATCGCTCGCTACTGCTCAAATTTAGACTTTTTTTCTTTTCGCGACTGTCTCGACTGTCTGGCAACTCGTACAAGAATTCGCGCCTCAATCTATTTGACAATTCACTGGGAAGTGCTTTGCTGTTCGAGGCAGGAACGGGAGTTTTGAGGACGAGGACGTATACATGCCTTGCAAGTGACGTCACCCTAGGGAACATCTAGGGAAGGACGGGGCCCCGCACCATGCTGGTGGTTGACTTCACACCGCGCGGATGCGCTTACCAAGGCGTAGGATGCTGCTAACGGCCCGGACATGCGTTAACATGCACCATATTTTCAACAAAGGTACCGTGAACTTAGAAAAACGTGCTGAGCTTACGATGATGACGTTTATACAGCATGTGCGGAATTTTTCGGCATTGGTGCGATTGCGCTACGAGCAGAAAGTTTCGAAATGCCGCCGGCGAAGTTTTGACGCAAAAAAATATGCCGTCTCGCCAAAAAAAAAAAAAAAGATCTTAATTGCGCGCTTTATAATTTGACTAGCGGCTCTACGAGTCGCTTGTAGAAAAATTGTTACGATTTTGCGAAATACTAGTAAACAACGCAATGTTACCGTCATAATCTTAACCCTGAGACAGGGATAAATCAAATAACGGACAAGAAACTCTCATTGTCTCAGGGTTTATATTATTATGTTTCCTAACTGGCTCGCCTGCATACTTTCGCTCCTTGCAAAGGTTATCGTATCGCGGACGGCACAAACCGATGACCCGGCGGCTCGGCGAGCTTGCACATGGGGGCCGCCGATCGCCGTCGGGCCGGGCTCGCGGCGCGACACTCGCCCGGATTCGGCCGGGAGCCCCGAAGGTGCACTCGAAGCGTGAAATCGGCGTTATGCAACGAAGGTCGAAGGCCATATACACCCCGAACGAGCAAAAGCCGATGCAAAGGCGTGCGCGAACGTAAACAACGGTAGAAAAGTGCCGCCGTTCGCCGCTATGAAATGCGTCCCGCAAACTCGATAATCCGCGGCCGCATCTTTTTCCTGCCGCTCGTAGTTTCTCTAACTTGACGTCTGCTCTGCCTCGCGTGGCATGCCGACGAGGGTACCCGCCGACGAAACGATCGGACGATCGTCGGAATACGGGGTAATTGCTACAGCCGAGCGCGGCGCAGTTTACCATTGCTCTCGCTGCGAAGGGCCGTCGAGTCAACCACCAGCATGGTGGATACCGGTGTTCGACGTCATGATGTGACGTAGGTGCAAGGCATGTATAGGGCTAAATTTCAGGAGACCGACACATTATGTGCCGCCTGCCATAATGATAGCGAGACACTGGAGCACTTGGTTTTGAAGTGCACGGAGCTTCGCCCTGCCCTCCCTGAAGGGGTAACGGATTTGGCCGGGGCCCTGGGTTTCACTGGCGACGATGGAAGGACGGTAGATTAAAGGATTACAGTGACAAAGAGACGATTAGAGGATTGGTGGAAATTATCTAGGAAAAATTAAATGATGGACAACTAACTAGCACAGCTGGGAACAGGCGGGACAGAGGAAAATTGGGACTCCCTCCTGCGTGGCTCCGGCCCAAAGTCTCAACCTTGTCTCCCAGTGGGTCCGGTGCTGGGGTAACGCCGAAAAGGTTTGACCAGAGGAAAATTGGCGACTCCCTCGCCGGGGGGAAGAGGCAGGGGGGTGATGCTTTTTAGTTTTTTTGCCCGATCCCCCGAAGGTCATCCTGGTGATATCCCACACTGCCTGGTGATAGTTAGGGGGAGAAAAATTGGGGCGGGGGGAATCACGTTTTTGTCTTTTTAGACTTAGGCTAGGTGGCGCAAGCTACCGCCCGTTACAAAGAGAATAGCCATTAACATCCATCCATCCATCCAGTGAATTCGCGCGAAAATGAGGTTTTCTTCACCTCAACGTGACCGCCTGAACAGGGCAACTCTGCGACCCCTCGTACAGATGAGTCACGGATGGAGGACGTTGGGTCCAGTCTACATCACTGCAGGAGGCTGTCTAAGGTTCACAGACGGTAGAAAAGTGCCGCCGTTCGACCGGAGTCGTCCGACCGGAGTGGTCGAACGACTTCGCGGCATTCTCGCGGCCTGAGCTAAACCAAACGGATTGCGGACCGCAAAGCGGTGAAGCCAGGGGTCGGCAACCGGTCCACGGGCCCGTGGGGCAATATAAGACGGCCCCTATCACACCACAAAAAATGACCCCACACCCCGGACACCCACTCCATGAATGTTTGGTTGTAAACTAGGTATAATTGGTCGCATTAACTGTGAGCAAGTTCAGGAGATTTACCAGATAGGAGTTGGCTGATCAGCTGATCCCCAAACAAAAAATAAGCTACATAATGCATTTGCATCGAATGACTTTGATAGGTTTTCCACTGGCCTCAGTGAATTAAAGTTTTCAAATCTACGGAGTCTTGCAGCAGCCTTGATCTGTGAAGTCAAATGTGAGTCTTGCGAATGACTGATGAGCACCTACAAAATGTTTTACGACCCTCGGTTAAGAATTTAAATGTGAATGTTCGCATCTTGGCAAGCAATATTGAACGCCCAAAATCTTACTGAGAAGGGACTCGAACAAAACGTTACGTGTGCCTGAATCTAGATAACATCTTTGCATATCATTTACAAGCTTCTGGTATCTATTTTGATCACCTATTATTTACTATGTCACCAAAAACTAAACATTTCTACCTAAAAAAAATGCTAACGTATGTAGATGTTTCCATTAAAAAAAAAAAAAAAAAAAAAAAAAAGCTTGGAAAGTGTAGGGTGTATAAATTACTAGAATTGGGAATTTGGAACCGCTGTCGCACACTCCTTCAATACGTTTCACTTCACTTTGCACCTCGAGCACCGAAGAGACACCCACGCCTACCAGACACAAGAAAAAAAAAAAAAATGGCGCCAACGTTTGGACGGATTGCGAGAAATCACCAAGGGTATTCACGCCAACAACACAACCCTAATATGGAATGCACCATCCATTACTTTAGGGACAGTATCGGCTGTAACTTGAGACACCGGGCGGTTGTCGAAAGCGACAGTACAAAGTACACGATTGGGACCAAGGCGCATGTCTGCGATGTAATCTTCCGAGTCCCCTGACAAACTTTGTTCGCGGCCGAGGCTCCCGGCCATTTGACGCTGCCCCTTTCCACCTCACGGTGAATCCTTGCATGCATTCTCCTGGGAGCATCAATGAAGGGCTCGTCGGCTTCCGCGTTTTTGTCGAGACGGCACGTTCTCATGACCACCGATTGCGCTAAGGTCCCGCGCAAAATTGCCCAGGCCTGAACTTGACCCTAGCGGAACTGGCTCCATGCATTAGGCCCCTAATTAAGCGAAACGACGTCGATTTTCGTCACTGACGCGCACATTTTCTGGTTTCAGGGTCACGCACTGACGCTGAGGAGAGGCCAAAACAAAACAAAAAGTAACAAAGAAAAAAAAAAAAAAAGAAATGTAGTGGATTGAAAGTACTTCTGTGTTCACGCCTCTCGATCGTACACATCCTCGGAAATGTCAACGCACAGACGATCTTGCGAATGAATATAATGCGCTGCGTGGTTTTGAATTCGGCGACATACGAGGATGTCATTCGCATGCGTGGTGCAGACATCATGCGTGTGGAGGACTGCAGCCTGCAGCATACCTGAAACACAATTAGCCACGCTAATCGCGATGCGGAAATTCAGCAAAAAATGTGAATGCTAAAACAAAACAAAGACGAAACTGTCAAAGCATGAAAGCAGGGATGCGCAGCTTGTTTGACAGGCGACATTTACGTGATTGCTTTCTACATAGGTTGACAACCCAGCTCTGCTAAATAACCCCTGTAGCTTTCTACATAGGTTGACAACCCCGGTAACCCTCAAAATCAAGAATCACTGTCATGTGCAACCTATTTCTCTATTAAAAACGTGATCAGAGATCGCGACACGCCTCTTTTTCGCACAATAGGAGCGTCTTTCGCGGATCAAAAAGGACTGTGTCGCGATCTTTGATGCTGTTTTCACGGGGAAATATCTCCCCAGGACAATGAACAGGAGGCGACTCGGTCGGCTGCTAGTCGGCGAAACTGGTGGCCAAATCGGCAACTTTGGAAAGGCCTAACCACCGAACAATTGGACGCGAGCTCTGCGTCGGAGTTCGGTAGGGCACTCGGACGTTTGG